GTTCTTGGTAAGAACATCAAGAACCTTGAAGAACACACATGAAAACTCATAAGAGCTCCATGAATGTTTTCACTCAATAAAATTCAAAATTTCACTACTCAAAAGGGGGTTAACATCCTAGGGTACTTAGGGGTTCCAAAAGTCACCTTAAAACACTTTTAACAAGACAAACAAGAACCCAAAAATCCACCCTTTGGATTTGTCCGAATTTCCCAAAAAACCATGGCACCAAATTTTAGCTCCAAAATTCATGCTCATATGAACTACATCTACAACATTTGAGATGTCAAATTTTCTAACAAAATTTACATTCAAAGAAGCAAGAATAAAGCTTGTAACAATTACAACATTCAAATCAAAGACTATGAACTACAAAACCCAAAAGGATTCACCAACTACTAGACCTAGGCTCTGATACCACTTGAAGGAAATTTTGTAAAAAACATGTTCATTTGAGCAACATCTATGGCATGCAATTAACAATTAAAGGCGAAATCATGCTTGTATGCACTCAAAAACAAAACATTATCCATGAAATTCAAAGCCTAGTAGAAAGGTGAACCAAGACTCAACTCAAGAACATAGTGAGTTGAGATATTTTATACCTTTGTTGATTCCTCTTTGCATAAGCAAAGGCTAATCACCCAAGGAGAGGGCCTTCATTCCTTGCTTCTTAGTTCCATTGATTTCTTAGAGGAGGATGGTAGAAAGGATTCTCCAAGTTACCAAAATTGAGAACCTCTAATTTTTCCACACCAAGGAGGGACTTGAAGAAGAGATGAGTGACCTTGGAGGATGAGAGATTGCTAGCTAATCTCTTCCAAGGGGGCCGGCCTCTTAGAGAGAAAAGGAGAGCATTGTGTTCTCATCCTTTCCCCAAAAGAAAACCCTAAGGATGAAATGGCTATAAAGTTGCCTTTATACCACCTCATTATGGAGTAGCAAACTTGCAATTAAAGCAAGTTCACTACCCTCCTCTATTTGGCCGGCCTTAAGGGTTTATTGGGCTTTCAAGCCCTTTGTTTATTCAAGTTGTCATACAACTTGAGTTAATGGGCTTGACATTCAAATCCCATTGGACCTTACGGCCCAAAACTAACCCTAGGTCTATAACGAACTTATTCGTTTGATTAATTAACATATTAATTAATCCTAGCCATAAATAATTAAACCATTTAATTATCCTTACTCATCTCCAATCATGTCTACTATCCAATGTGATTCATTTACTTATATGATTACCTTGAATGTGATTTGGAACGACTTCCTAAATCTCATTCATACTCTGCCCAGAGATTCTTAATCATATCATAGAGTATTCTCCCTCAAACGGTTTGAAGGTTAGAGATCCCTTGTTGCGCATTCACTTACCTCCATGGCTAAGTGGCTTAACCCCAACTATGTTGTGGACACCCTCTGACGGAGTGACTTTGACATAGTCAAAGATCAAGGACCTAACCACAAGACAACTATGATGCCTCAGGTCAAAGGACTACTTTACATTATCCCAACCATGAGTTCTCATGTGACATGAGTATGAGAACTCCTCGTTAATCGTCTTCAGTGGACTCATTCTCTATTGAGCACCTACATGCTTGTCTTGGTGTCAATCACACCAATGACTCGAGACCAGTCATTCTCCTTGAGAGAAGACACAACACATACTGATCTTAACGGACTGTCAATGCCTAAACGTTTAGGATATGTATACGAAAGAGAATGGTCTCATGAATCTAACTTCTTTAAATTACATTCTCCTAATTACATATTCCTTGAACTTATCGTTTAAGCATATAACATTTATATGAGACGACTTAAAACAATAATATTTGCCCTTGATATTAAACTAGATTAGTTTAACATGTGAAATGTCCGTAAAGTATCATCATATGATTGGTTTTAGGGCACAGTTCCAACACTCTCCAACCCGGATTATAGGTGTTGGAGAATGGGTCATTCCTTGGTTGATTTTGGCCTAGATAACCTATGGCATTGGCATTTTCCCAACCCCCATTCTCTATCAATTGAGGACATTGATCAGTGGGGTGTCCTTTCATAGAGCACACACCACAAGAACTTATTCATTGCACCTTGGATCATTCAACAACCTGTGATAGAAGAATAGAAAGATTAGCCATTTGAGATTGAAGTTCTGAAATAGCACTTACCTCATTAACTTGAGTCTGCCGTGAGGTGTCTCTTTGTCTAACTCCTTCGTATTGTTGTGCATTCAAGGCTCGATTTGCTATCAAGATCTTTGTAGCAACTCGTGTTTTATCAACCAAAGCACCACCTGCCGAGGCATCTAGCATTTGTCTCTTAATTAGAAGTAGTCTTTCGTAGAAATATTGAATTAAAAGCTCTTCCTTTATTTGATGTTGGGGACAAGATGCAACTAAAGTCTTGAAACGATCATAATACGCTGGAAATGATTCTCCTTGGTCTTGTTGGATTCCACTAATTCTCTTCCTCAAAAGAATGACTCTTGACTTTGGGAAGAATTTCTCTAAGAACGCTTTCTTCATACTTTCCCAAGAAGTGACGATTCCAAGTGCTAATTCAAAGAGCCAATCCTTAGCTTTTTCCAAAAGAGAGAATGGAAAGGCTTTCATCTTCAGAATATTACCATCCACATTAATTGGTGTCATGCTCGAGCACACCACTTCAAATTTCTTCAAATGATTGTTTGGATCTTCCATGGACAACCCATGGTATTTGGGAATGTGATGCAGTAAACTGGACTTCAATTCAAACTCATTGGTTTTGCCTTGAGCTGCTATAGGGTATTGAATGCAAAAAGGGACGACATTGTCCAATCCCGAGCCTGAAAGTTCCTTGATTGTTCGATTGTCTACAGTCATGTCTTGTTCCTGTTCTTGTTCCTCTTCTTCAAATTCGGATTCAAAACTAGAACTAGGTGGATTGGGTTCTGGTTGCTTCATCTTCCTTCTCAAAGTTCGTTCAAAATCGTCGTCAAACTCTAATATATGCCCACGAACTGGTTGAGAATTTCTAGTCATAAACTAGTACCTAAAACAAAGAAAACAAAACTAAACTAAATCAGAAACACAAGAAAAACAAAAACAAAGGGAAGATTAGCAATTTTGCTCATCCCCGGCAACGGCGCCAAAATTTGATGTGGTAAAAATTAACACACAAATTAAACCCTATAAATTATGCAATTGTAGTATGGATAAGTAGGGATCATTCTAGGCCGGTGATTAAAAGGGATGCTAATCAACACAAATTAGACTTAAAACCTGAAAACTAGACAAAACTAACACAAAACATGAAGGGGAGAGGTTTTTGGACGAAATTTTGACTTAAAACAAGTAAATTGCATAAACAAAGTAGGTTTGGACGAAAATTGGGTGAAAGGTTAGCTAGATGATTCTTTTCCACACATGAAACATATGCATACAAATTGATTTCCGGTTATTATTCCTATAAACCACGAATGACAACGCCCCAATTTAACCGTGAACTGAACAAATTAACTCTCAGATTTTCTAAGTTCATTAAATTGGACTCAACGTCGCAACCAAATTATTCTTCTCAAGTTCCCTAACTATGAATAACATGATAAAGATACATATCAAAGATCATTAAGTTCTGTGAAAATCATAAGCATTGACAAAACATTCATAACTATGAATTGCATGATACTCCTGCCAGGAATTTACTTAACTCAATCATGACTAGTGATTTTACTACTTGCAAATATAAGTTCATAACGATAGGGTGAAATTCCCTTATATTCTAGCATCAAATCCTTGCATGCAAACTAAGTACGTGTCCTTAATCAACATACAAGAATAAGTTCTCTATACAACAGATAAGTATATCACATTCATGGTTTACGAAACAATAACTAGATGTAATCAATTTATATAAAACATATGATCATGGCTTCGAATTCACCTCTAGCTAAAAACAAATTTAGTTACACATGTTTATCATAGTTGAAAAGCAATATAAAATAAACATCGAAACTAAAACTAAGGATAGAAAGAACCCAAGACGCTCCAACAATCCAATGGCAGATTGCACAATCCTCGGATGCAGCACGACTCAAAACTCCTTCTCTCCTTCCTTTCTCGCGAACACGGCACAAGTCTCTAAAATTCTCAGAAACATGTGCACACTGATGTATTTTCTCTCTAAAACTCTCTCTCTCTCTGAAAAATCCCCTCCTCAAAGCTGCGGCACAATGTGTGTATATATAGGCAGACTCACGGCACCAATCCTTGGAGAACAAGGATAGGGCACGGCACAATTCTAAGAGAAAAGGGATTAAATTGTTTGCATGATTTTAGGACTTCTAGAATCAGATATGCATTGTTAAAACATGATAAGGACTCCTCCTTTCAGCTGGAGATAAGGTAAGATAGGATTAGGATAAGATAAGGTTAGTTTGGATAAGATTGGATAAGATAAAAGAAGGTTAGTTTGGATAAGATTAGATAAGATAAGATTGGATAAGGTCTCCTTGTTTTCAGCTAATTCCTTGTCTTCCAAGCCTTAATTTAATTCTTCCATATTTGTAGCACATTTTTAGCATCATTTGTCACCAAAAATGTCCATCTATTATGCTCCATACGCATGATATCCAATCCAAGTCCAAAACTGCTCCAAATTGCTCCATTTTGCCCTTTTTGTCACATTTGCCAATTGAACTTACAAACACACGAAAATAGCTTAAATCACTATAATAAATAGAAACTAACTAAGTAAATGCAAAGAAATAAGCTAACAAAGTCGCATAAATATGCTCCTATCATAAGCATCTATGCATCTCACAAACTCTTTATATACTTGTTTGAATTATTCCGCCTCTGTCTTAGTGATCTAATAAGTTATGGAACATGCAAATTAACAGGAACTTGTCGTCAAGTAGATTGACAGCGAAGATAGCTCGTTCCATATCTGATCTTGCAACGATACATACATACATACATACATATATATATATATATATAGGTCGTAATTTCATTGGTACAATGGATAATATAATTTCAGCTGCTGAATGTTTCAGGGATTTATCAAACAACAACTTGACAGGACCAATTCCAGACTTTTTGTCTGAATTGCCAAATTTAAATATCCTGTAAGTTACTTGGTTATAAATGGGGCTAATTGAACCTTTATAACAAAGAATATGGTGATAAATATAGTGCTTAATCTACCTTTGGAAAAACTTAGAGAAAAACAAGTTCACAGGCTCAGTTTCCGCAAGACTGACTGAAAGAAGAAACAACGGTTTGTTATCAATAAGGTGTGCCTTTTCCACAAATCATTATCTTTTTCATATTTAGTTTAGCTCACCTGAATTGTGTAAGAGCTAAAATTGACGAACAACTAATTAACAGAGGTATGCTTCTGTTTTCAGTTTCTTTGTATCGTGAGTATATAAACTGATCCGATATTATATACCTATCAACAAACTTGAATCTTGTTGAGAATTATAACATTTCCTACTGATGTTAAAGAGGTATACCTTTAAATTGAAAAAAAAAATCTAACTATTGTTGATGCTATCCACCATTTTGGTGTCAGTTTGTGCGAAAACCCAAATCTAGCCGAGCAAGTTTCTTGTGGATTGAAGAAGAAGAAACAACAGCACACGTCTGTTACTCCAGTGGTTGGATTAACCCTTGGGATTTCAGTCCTGTTATTAATTGTGGCATCTATCTGCTTTGTCTTGATAAGGAAAAGGCGACATGGTAAGATTTAAAAAATTTGTTCAATTTTTTGTAAAGACAACATCGTACGACTTCCAAACATCCGCTTACTAACTTGAAATGATAGCAAAAGCCACCATTGGGTCAATTCAATGACAGTTTACGTACTCCGAGATACAGAAGATCACCAATAACTTTGAGAGGATTCTTGGCCAAGGAGGATTTGGAATAGTTTATCATGGATGCATAGGAGAAACTCAAGTAGCTGTAAAGATTCTTCACCATCTTCGGTTCAAGGGCCTCAAGAATTTCGTGCAGAGGCACGTATGTCCTTACAAATTAGTTCGATACTTTTGGTCCAGTAATTCTAATTAGACGCAGAATTGTTGACACACCCTCCAATATAGTAGTGTATGTCATCAATGATAACAATTTATGCATATAAATAGCATTACTCTTTTTGGTCTCAATCGTATATAATAAACTAAAACGTTCTGTTTATGGTGTCTTAAATTACAGGTTGATGTTCTTGTGAGAGTTCATCATATAAACTTGACAACCCTTGTAGGGTATTGCAATGATAAGACCAACAAAGGGCTTGTTTACGAGTTCATGGCCAATGGAAACTTACGAACATATCTTTCTGTTTCAGGTTTGTTTGCAATTGAAATTATTCAGTAGAAAAATAATTACCAATTCTTAGTACTTGTAAATTGTTGGGGCAGTGAGCCTTGATGTTTTTTTTAACTCTTGAAATTTATTTTTTGGAGAAAATAAATTCTATATTGATCTGCAGCAATATAATGTTTCTTATAGAACAACATTAATTTATGTTGAGGGTTGAAAATTTTAAATTGTTATGGGTGTAGATAGCAGTGCAAGTGTCTTGACTTGGGAAGGTAGACTACAAATAGCAATAGATTCTGCACAAGGTATGCAACTCAAATGATTTCATTATAAAATTGGCTAAGAAGATCAGAAATTAAATATCGACAATATACCAATCAAGTATCGACGACAATGAGATCATATAATGACGACATAACTCAGATATAACTAATCGTTTCAGCAATTTCTCATCATCTTCTTTTAGCTAGCATCTCCTTATATAAATTTTATCAAGTGCTCTCTTAATTTTGAAATACAGGATTGGAGTATCTACACTATGGCTGTAAGCCACCCATAATCCACAGGGATGTAAAACCATTGAACATCTTGCTCAATGAAAATTTCCAAGCCAAAATATCTGATTTCAGCCTATCCAGAAATTTTCCTACAGAGGATGGTTCGCATATATCGACGCGTGTTGCTAGAACTCCTGGGTACCTTGCCCCTGAGTAAGTATTTTTGGTGCTTAAGTGCTTTAAATGGTGAAGAAGCATTCTACAAAGAGCTTTTAGTTTGCCTGCATACACCTGTTCAAACGAAGATTTCTCTGGAGAGGGCTCATTGGCCCTCAGCATAGCTCCCCAATGGCACTTTGAATGTGTAAATGGGCTCTTGCCTGCTAATGTGCTGCAAGAAAATGATAGAGTTAGTTTTGAAATGTGCCTTTGTGGGGCCTTAGGTGTAGGCCTTGAGGCTCGCAATCAAAACTAACCAAGTGTTAGGCGTGCCACTGCTATCTCAGTATAGCAGATGTAGAACAAGATTGTGTTTAGTCGATTACTTGCGGCCCAAGTTACTCGGACTTCTTGTTATCAAAAGATTGTCGTGGATGGGTTAAGTTCACATTAAGTTCTTTTTATTGCCTTGTTACCAAGGACTTTCAGTTCATAGTCTTGTATATTCAAATGAGGGGAGTCCAGATCCCTTAAGTCATTTGTTTGGTTCTTGATTGGTTTTAAATGAAAGCATATATGTTAAGCTGACCAAATCCATATACAAATAAGACTTTTAAAGTAGGAAAACAAGCGGAAATGACTTGAATACATGCTAGAGAATACATTAAGCAGTAGATCTATTATCTTAGAAAACACACAAAGAACTTTAAGCAAGATTTCACCTTGTCGGGTAAGGTTGAACTTCTTACAATCAGTTCTTTGAGTTTACAGAGGTTTCTATGCTAAAAATGGATGAATGGTAAACCAGTTTACACACAGGAATCGATACTACGCCACTAGGGGTGATAGCAGAGCTTCTAAACAAGACAAAAGATAGTTTTGTGAGGGAGATATCCTGAAAATGACTGCGATCTGGGATGATTACAGCTTTTAGATGCAAATCTGGCTTGAGAGCAGAGTTTGTATGTTTATTTGTTTGATTGGTTGCGTGTCTTTGACTCTGGGGCCTCTTCCTCCTTTTATAGGCAAATTAGTTCGACTGCAATAACTTTGCTCTTGCCCAAAAGCACTTGGAGGGTAGTGAGTCATCAACTTTTTACTTGTATTGCCACTGAAAAGTGCTATTTGGTTGATTATGAGTTAGTCCCCATCACTTGACATTTTAAATTATAGGCACTTGGCCTATGCATTAATGGGAAAGTGCCAATTTGTCTCTGGGCTTGATGTTTGGGCTTCGACCAAGTCTCCCTTTAGTTGGTATCTCTGGGCTTCCACACACTTGTAGCCCAATGTTCAAATATTAACCCAAACAATAAAGGTCGTACCCAGTGCACAAGGCTCCCGCTTTACGCAGAGTCTGGGAGAGGTGAATGTCGGCTAGCCTTACCCCCATTTATGGAGAGGTTGCTCCCAAGTCTCGAACCCGAGACCTACCGCTCATGGGCGAAGGCACTTGCCATCGCACCAAGTGCGATCTCTAAATATTAACCCAAACAATACCAAAACAAAATCCAAATTTGAGTTTTCACTGACAAAGTTCATTTATTTAATTTTAATGTACAATAGTTATCAAACGAGCCCTTAGATCTTCTAAATTAGTTAACTGGCAAGGAAGAATAAAGAAACTCCAAATTGAGAAAAAAAAATATAAAATTCAAAAGATATGACTTGAGTTGCATACATGGTTTGATTTGCAGGTACTACTTATCAAACAGGTTAAATGAGAAAAGCGACGTCTACAACTTTGGAGTCGTACTGTTGGAGATTATCACAAGTAAACATGTTTTGTCAAAAACGCATGATCACATAAGTGATTGGGTTGCTTTCATGCTTGGAAAGAGAGACATTAATGGGATCTTCGATTCGAGGTTAGAGAGAAACTTCAATGTTAGCTCTGGCTAGAAAGCTGTGGAAATAGCAATGGCATGTGTATCTGTAGATGACACCAAAAGGCCTACCATGAGTGAGGTAGCTGTGGGACTAAAGGAGTGTTTGGCAACAGAACTAGCTCGAGAAAACCAAAGCGGCAATGAAACTAAACTAGGAAGTTCCATTAAGATGATGTCTAAGATGAATTCCATCTCTATGGAATTGGAAAGTCCTTCAGTTAGATAGTACAAGTAGACCTATCTTGGTGAAATAATGGGACATGGGATTTATTGTTTTTCTTTTATTTATCAATGTTTTTTGTGCACGTTGATCAATATTGGGGAAGGAGGATGCGAACTTGGAACATTATGAACAAAGGAGAATGCTCTTAACTATCTGAGGTACAATTTCTTTGCTCATTATAATAATGTTAGAGTCATCAAATGTATATACCAAATTTGTTTACCAGTAAAGGCGAAGGCATTGATAAACTTTTATGCCTATATCTTGTGTGCTTTAACAAAAGGTATTGCAAAATCCTCATAACCCCTTCTTTTCATCTCTCTTTTCTTGTGTTTCTAAAATAAAGACGATATGTGTGACACCTCGTCCTGAATTTTAATGTTTTTTATTTCCAGAAGCAATGAATGTACCAAAAAGCCCTCGATAGGCCATGTGGATTTCCTATGTGTACCTCTGAATTATTTTCAGTTTTAGTCTCTTTTCCAGCCATATTTAAATAGTACTCTTCAATATGAACATGTGGACGCTAACGGGACATAATTTTGACGTGTAACGAACAAGTTATGCACATTTCAAGACGAGAGTCAAAATTGTAATTTTAAAACACCGGCCCGGCCCATTTCTAACCATCAAAATATATTTTAGTGCATGGAAAGAAATAAGAAAAATTAGTATATGGTCCCTAGTTACTAAGGTCATCTCCCACCAAATGGGTTATGTTTAGTCCTCGTCCAGATTATAACCCTGCAATAAATTATTTTTTTAATGAACAGTGGCAAACAATATTTATATACCATCTCCAACTAAAGGGGGCTATTTTTTTCGGATAGGATTTCGAGTGACACGTGTCGCTAAATATTGTTTAAATGTCGTATTATTAACTCTTAATTTTACTTGCATGTTAACAACTTAGACATTAATTCAAATATCACAATTTATTTGAATTACAACTTAATTGAAATACAACATCTTTTTTTTTTTTTTGAACAAAAGATATTATCTACACTAAGGGGGAGGGGATGGGCTTAGCCTCACAATAGGCTAGCAATAATTTGGTTCAAATTCGCCTTTAGTGAGAATCGAATCTAAGACCTCTCACTTACAAGTGAAAATGAATACCGTTAGACCGTAGTACTAAGTGGCAATTGAAATACATCTTAAATATTAAAACTACAACAACTTAAATATTAAAACTGCAACAACTTAGAATTAAAGATTACAACAAATTAGGAGTTTAAAGAATGAGAAGAATAGAAATAAAATGAGGTAAGATAGTATGTCAAGCATTAAACTTCCTTCCAGGGAACTTTAAGCTAGGGTGTTGCTACGTGTGGAAGTGAACCGATCCAGTTTTTGTCTTTGAGTGAAATGTAGTTTATAGTTTTGCTTTAGCAAATGGGGCAATGCAACAAGAAGATAGCCCAGCTAGCGATACCAAGGATTGTTGGCAAGGCTAAAAAACAGTCACAATGGCAATAATGTATCTTTCCGGGGATGTGAAGCTGTGGTGGTGGACGCAATATAAGGGTGTGCTGGAATGGAGGGTCATTGTGTAGAAATAGCTTAGGTATTTATAGAAAAAAAAATTAGAATTTTTAAATTTCATCTTAAAAAAGATTTCAAAATCTAACAGCTCGTCAACTAGCAAGTGTGTAATCCCTTGAAAATTTAAATATATGAATACATAGAGAAAATAAAAAATAAATCGATTTATGGTTATGGAAATAGAATTGGGAAATTATTACAATTAACGTAATTGTAGTATTGAGCTTTTACTTGGGTTTTCGAGAATTTATAGTAATTGATGTAAGTTAAGTTTTAAAATAAACTGGTTACGAGGTTTAAAGTTTGGAAAGTAATTATTTAAAATCCGTAGACCTTTGGAGTCACAATTTATATTTTTGAATAGAGCTCGATCTCACGAATGCGTAGGCACAAACAGAACGCAATTTGGAGATATAACGAAGAAGTTATTAACGAAGAAAGTTAGGGACTAAATTGTCCATTAATTATTTTTAGAAGGCTCCAGATTTTGTAGCAAAACTTGATGGTGCCACGTGGGTGGCTGAGATGAAAGTAAAGAAAAGAAAGAGAAATGAAAGATGGATGACTGTGATGAAAAGAAAAGAAGAGAAAAGGAAAGAAAGGAGGAAAAATGAGGGGAGAGGACCAATGGGGAAGGGGAGAAGGGTGGGATTAGGAGAGAAGGGGGAGCGGGGGATCCCACGACCTGGGGGACCGGATCCAACCCGGTCGGGTTTTCTTGCCCTTGTCCGACAAAACTGAGCCATTTTTCCTGTGAATTACATCAAATTAACCATTGTAAAACCCTCCATAACCTTCCATCTTCCTACTACACCTAAAAAATCATGGGATTTGAGCTTGAAATGGGTAGAACCCACACTGTGGGGTGTGGCGACATTGGGTTCGAATTACCCAAAATTTGAAACTATTTAAGTCCAATTCCACTATCATTAGACTCCCTTTGAGGTGTAGAACAAAGCCCAAACAAGTTTAGGGGCGTCGGAGTTGTTTTGGAGTCGAATCAAGAACACCCAAAAACAAGGGTTTCCGGTGGTTCGTGGAAAATTTGGGGTGTTTTCCGGCCAAATTTGGCTTGGTCGCAGGTATGAAAGTTGTTCCTCTCACTGAGATCTACTTTCTTGTAAAATTTGGTAATTTTTTAAGATAGTTGATATTTTCCGGCGAATAGAGGCGGCCGACCACCACCGGTGGTGGCGCGTGCTAAGGGAGCCGACACCATAGTTTTAAGCTAATTTTGATGTTCTGGAACAAAATTCAATAAGCATTTAATGTAATCCACTTGTTTGAAGCTAGATGGTGATTATTTAGTTATGTGTAGAAATATCAAGGTTGAATAGAATTGGATTTTGTGAACTACGAATGGTTTGATCCCTGTTTAGGGTACGTAGGCAGTCTAATGAGACGTTAGATGCAGCCATAATACTAGTAAGATTAAATATTGGAGAATTAATCTTTGAATTAGAGGTTGCTTGATAGAAGAATTTGGGGAATTAAGTTGATAACTTAATTGATTGTTATGTAATTAAAAACATAGTAAATTTTATAGGAATTAAATTGTTTGGAGATTTAAAAATAAGAGAAAAGAAATAGTACCAAACTAAACAAGTGTTTAGTTTGGGCCTATCACTAAGATTATTATTTCCCGAAATAAAGCAAATAATTTTGGGCGGGGCATTACAAAGTGGGCTGCTAACAGCTTGGGCCCTTCAAACGGGCTGGCTATCTAGCTCAAAGTGCCCAGCCTAATGGCCAAATGGCTGAGAAATGATCTGGTGGGTCCCCTTTTTTTTCCTGCCCCAGCCCTCCATTGGAGTTGGATTTTGTCTCATTTCAGGCAAAAACATGGCCTATGACCCTATGGCTTGATCCATTAGAGATGGCTTAATGTTCCTTGGCTTTCAAGTTTTTATCGAAGCCTTTGAGTGAGAGCTCTTAGGTTTGATTCTCGCCAAAAGTGAGTTTGAACCACATTACTAGTCCATTGTGAGGCTAAGCCCACCCGCTCCCCCTTAGTATAAATAATATCATTTGTTAAAAAAAAAAAAGCACTATTTATGAATTTACATGTTAGCTACATAATTTTTTATAATAAAAATTAGGTAATTGATTTAGGATCTTAATACATAACTTCATTAATCTCCTAATTAATTTTCAATTTAAAACATTTTCAAAATACAAAAAAATAAAATAAAATAAATATGTACGCATTAATTTTATAAAAAAAGATTTTCAATTGTAAGTGAGAGATCTTAAGTTCGATTCTTGCCAAAAGCAAATTTGAACCACATTATTGCAAACCCATTGTGAGGCTTAGCCCACTCCCCCACCCTCTTAGTGTAGATAATATCATTTATTCAAAAAAAAAATTCAATATTTTAATCTTACATTTACCCATTCATATCATTTTTTTCAATTTCATTTCATATTACATGTACCTACCAATATGTTATATGTAAAATTTATCAATTTTTTTCATATAAAATATAACCATTTTTTTTTATGTAAATCTATTCATTTTTTTAAAATCTGTTTTTTAAAGGAAAATTAATGAAAATGGCATGAAAAATTTGAGTTTTAATGATAAGGACAAAATAAAGGGTAAAGTGAATAGTACCATGTTTGACTTTTTAGTGTAAAAATGTAGTTTTTCGTTAAAGTGAACAGTACCATTGGCTTTTCGTTAAAACTCTCTTTTTTTAAACATCAAATCCACTAATATTATTAAGCCTAATGTCTACTATTTCTATTACTATTCTTTTTTCTTTTTTGAAGAATGTACCCATATATATACATACTTTTTATGAAAACCCATGAATTCTATTGATTTTAAATTTTCTGTCATGGAGTGGGGTGGGGAGTATAATATGTCTTTTAATTTTTTCAATTCCACAGATTAATAAATGTTATTTATAATCTCATTAAATAAGCAATTACAAATATCAATTTTTTTTAACAAAAAATTCAGCACCTTACAAATATCAAATTTTAAGTTAATAAATGTTGGTACTACGGTCTAGTGATATTCCTCTTCAAAGTTAATTTTGAATCATATTATTGCTAGTTCATTGTGAGATCACCACCTCCCCTTAGTGTAGATAATATCATTTGTTCAAAAAAAAAATATTAGCATACGCCTACATACTTTATGTGTGTGAATATTTTTTATTTTTGTTTTTAAAATGGAAATGAGAGAGAGAGAGTGAGAACGTGGGAATAAGAGTGGGAATAGAGGTTTTTGTTTTTTATTTTTTTATTTTTAGTATTGGATACATGCTAAAATTACATGTAGGTGATACTTAAATAAAAGAGTAAATTGTAACAATAGTCCCTTAACTTTAACTCAATCAGACCAATGATCCTTCAACTAAGAATTCATTATCATCGGTCTCTCAACTCAGCAAAACGTGCAATTATGGTCTCTCAACTAAAAATCAATTACCATTGGTTCCTCAACTTTTGTGGAGCCAAAAATAATCAAGAGGCGACACGTGGATTTTTAGGTGCAGAGGACAAAATTACCCTCGAGACACATCTGGTTTCCTACACGCGAGTAGTGGAGAATCATCCATCAATCGAGTTAAGAGTGCCCAAAATATGTAACAAGTTCAAATTTATCTCATCCATCTTTATTCCATATCCTCTACAAGGAAATCATTCCATAACCTTCAAAACCTTCTATATAAATTAAATTAATTAGGCTAATTAATGGATTAATTCCAAATTAATCCATTAATCACCAAATTAATCACCATTACACCCCAAAAAACATCCAAGGGCCGGGCATGCTCTATAAATAGGACTCAATTTTCTTTGAAAGACTAGTTCCATACTCTTGTAAAACTTCCCAAAACTCTCCAAATACTTTTCTCTCTAAATTCTAACTTTGGCATTGGAGGTTCTTCGGCCAAAGCCCCCCCCAATTCATCGTGGGGGCGTGAGGCTCTTGGTTTTGACCTAAGGTGTTAATTGTTTTGTAAGTGCAATTTTATCCAAGAAGAAGAAGGCGGAAATTTGCATCCACAACTTTAATCCAACTGGAAAAATCATCTCTCAACTTTAACCCAATTGGAGCAATGACCCCTCAATTGTAACTCAATTGTAGCAATGGTCCTTCCAACATAACTCATTTTGATAAAATTATGACAAAGTTGACGAAAATGACCATAACTACACATTTTTGATGAGTTGAGGGACCCCAATTGTAGCAATGGTCCTTCCAACATAACTTATTTTGACAAAATATTGACGAAGTTGACGAAAATGATCATAGCTACACTTTTTTATGAGTTGATGGACTAAGGATAATGAATTTTTAATTGAGAGACTATTGCTCCAATTTGATTAAAATTGAAAGACTATTGCTTCAATTTACTCAAAATAAAAAAGCAAACTGTAGTTTTATGAAATTACATTATTGCCATCATTTTTCTGTGATAGAAGACTAAATAGTATTTTCATCATCTTTTAATTAACAAAGAAAATTCTATTAATAAGATAATAATTGATATGAAAATACATTAATATTAAGACTTCAATAAAAACTGAAACTAATAAAGTTTCAGTTAAAAAACATAATGGTTAGAAACTGCATCTAAGGTCTCTCTTTAAAATATCTGTTTCTTTCTTTTAGAGTTTCGGGTCTGGAAGGATCACTACTCCATTTCTTCTGCAAAAAAAAGATATAGTCCGACTCTCATTTAATTTCCAGAACATCGAACATGTACAGAACGCGTGCTGCAACGTTGAAGCTGGCAAAGCTTGATGGCAACACTCTGATTAATTGCAGATCCTGACCGTCGATTGTGGCACATGTGGGACCTCACTACCAATGCCAGGTCCCAAATCATCAATAACCAAACAGACAGGTTTCCAACAATTATTTCGAAAACATAAAGAGACCTCATCCAATTGTGACTCACATTAATGTGTGTAGGACTTGATACATATTTTGCTGTACTTCGATCGTCAATGAGATTGGTATAAGATATTTAAGCTCAGTTAATCAAACTTATTCGCATTTGTTTTGTTGGCTACAAGTGTGCTTTCTCTACTCTAATCAAATTCAAATTTCCATTTTCATAATTTAGATGAATTTATTTTATCGTGCTTATATCAAAATGGAAATAGAAAAGTATCAAATGAACTAATTGAGCTCATATTTTTCCCAACTATACTTAGATCAAATTTTCTGCTTCCAAAATAAGTGTGGCATCTTTGGCCTCTCTGTGACCCTCATCATTGTTTAACACAATTTATGACGACAAAGTTAAAAAAAAAAAAAGAGTTAAGTTTATAAACACGTGTCAGTAATGATTGGGGCCACTCAGAGAGGTTACACCCATTTTGAGTACAGAAGATTTGATCTCAACTTTGCTATCCAACTGGTGTATTAGAGATGTAATTTAAGTTAGATACCACTTAATAAGTTCCATATAAACACCCACATTTACAATGTATGACAATTGAACTTGGTTCACAATTGCTAACACTCATTATTTTACGATATTCTAAACTACTCGGTCTACTCATAATATATGAAAATGTAATCCGAACTTGAACTCAAGAAAGTGCCACCCTATCTTGACCAACTGCTAACTCATTTGCAATTGTAACAAGCATTGTCAATGTTAATTGTCTTAGTTTTAGATGGCTAATTAATCCACCGATTTCCATGACTTATTGGTCCAACCAGTTGTGCTGGGTCAGAAGATTTTTCAGAACCACCAAAATAACTCCATCACATGTAGCTTTGACATGCCTTTTACTCATAATACCTCCACCTGCTATTTTCTCAACTACCCTAGCACCCTTCATATTTAATACCCAAAAAAATAATTATGTTTTTTTTTTTTTTCAAACAATAGATTTGTTAGATTAGGGAACCGACGGGATTCAAACTCACGCAGTGGTGTAAGGACAATACTCATTTCCACCACTGTGGTAGAAGCCCACTTCCAACAATTAACATTGACAAGAAATTAAAGTGAAAAGCAAGACCCACATGGTCAGTAATTTATTATATTTGTTTGTATAATTTAAGGAAATTGGAGCAATGGTTAACTAAAAATTCATGATCATTAGTCTCTTAATTCATTAGAACGTACAACTATGGTTTTTTTCTTCAACTCCGTCAGAACTTTTATCAAAATGAGTCACATGCCACACATGTGAGGCTAAATCAAGGGGCAAGTATGGGAAACCAAAATGAAAAAAAAATTGTAGCAATGATCCCTCAACTTTAACCAAATTGGAGCAATGGTCCCTTAACTTTAACCCAATTGGAGAAATGGTCTCCCAACTTTAACCTAATTATAGAAATAGTTCTTCCACCATAACTTATTTTGAAGAAAAGGCAAGTATGGGAAACCAAAATGAAAAAAAAAATTGTAGCAATGATCCCTCAACTTTAACCAAATTGGAGCAATGGTCCCTTAACTTTAACCCAATTGGAGAAATGGTCTCCCAACTTTAACCTAATTATAGAAATAGTTCTTCCACCATAACTCATTTTGAAGAAAATTTTGACGGAGCTGACAAAAAGAACCAAAGCTGAATGTTTGGACAAGTTAAGAGACCAATGGTTATAAATTTTTAGCTGAGGGACCAACGCTCCAATTGAGTTAAAGTTATTGGATCATTGCTACAATTTTCTCGTATAATTTTTATTTTTGGCCGTCAAATTGAATAAATCAAATCAAATAACGGCCAAAATCAAATATGGGTGTGCAAGAAGCCTAAAAAAATGTGTGTTTATCATTTCCAATTTTTAGTGCATGGGTAATTAAATCCATAAAACCAGTTGACCTCTCATTCAATGCCTAAACAAAAACTCCATCTTCCCTCTTCCTAGAGGAAACTTCAAAAGGGTCATTTTGTTATAAGGGTCCAAATTCACAACACAAATCACTTCAGGAGAAAAAAGCTGCTTTTTTCACAATATGGAAAGCCGTTTCTTGAGCGCAGCTTTTGGTTTGGTTTTGGTTTTTGCGTTTGTGATTGGAGGGAATTATGCACAAGAGTCAACTACACTTGTTCCGGCAATCATGACTTTTGGAGACTCAGCAGTTGATGTGGGCAACAATGACTACCTCCCTACCATTTTCAAGGCCGATTACCCTCCTTATGGAAGGGACTTTGTGAACCATCAGCCTACTGGGAGGTTTTGCAATGGCAAACTGGCCACTGACATCACTGGTAAGTATAAAATTCAGCTTCTAAAAAGAGTGCTTTTGTTAACATTCTTAAACTGTTGTTAGTTGCTTCTTAATGCAGGAGAAGTGCTTTAGCTTTTTTAGCATAGTGGGAAACTTAATGTTGATCTGCATACGGTTTTTAGTTAATAGAACTGAAAGTTCAGTTTAAATTGGTTAGTTAAACTAATGATTGTTTGATTGTGTGGCTTAATTTGTTTTGCTGCATTTTTATAAGATACATTACTGTTAATTACTTTAATTTATTTATGCAGTTCAGTGTTGAAGTGCTTTATGAACATTAAATATGGTCTCTTCTGCTGCATTTGGGATTAATTTCTATTACAGGGACCATGTTAATTGATGATATGATATGGTAGTTGATATGTTAATTAACCGTTGTCGGTAAAAATTTACACATGATTCGATGTAGTAAGTATGCATAAACTGCCAGGTGGTTTGCTAATGTGGATAGAGAAATGACATTTCTTGCATTATTCTTCATGATCAGAAGTTAATTAGAATATCCAAGGAAATTTATTCACTGCCAAAAAACCTAATGTGAGGTATTTATTTATGCAGCTGACACTCTAGGGTTCAGTACTTATCCGCCGGCGTACCTTAGCCCACAAGCATCAGGGAAGAACCTTCTGATCGGAGCCAACTTCGCTTCAGCTGCATCCGGTTACGATGATAAGGCAGCGACCTTAAGTGTAAAATTCTTATCTTATTTATAACAGCACTATAGATACCGGGTAGGGGGTTTTGACATAATATCGGGTGTAGGGGTAAACGCTCTTATATATTTTAATGTCGCAATTCTGATACATTTGAGCTTGTGTGGCATGCAGCATGCAATCCCATTGTCCCAGCAGCTGCAATATTACAAGGAGTACCAGACGAAGCTTGCCAAGGTAGCAGGCAGCATGAAAGCGGCATCGATCATCAAGGATGCTCTCTATTTACTGAGTGCCGGAAACAGTGACTTTCTTCAGAATTACTACGTCAACCCTTTTGTTAACAAAGTCTACACTCCCGATCAGTATGGTTCCATCCTTGTTGGTGTCTTCCAAGGCTTCATTACGGTATATATATCGTCTCATTGCTCCTCCTCTTAAATCTAACCGTAATAGACCCAAAAATCTGGAATACCTTGAACCCAATTGTTATTGCACCCGACTGTTATCTCGCTACAGGTGCGATTCTTTTCCATAATCTGATTTGCAAGTGAATCTCACTAACTTTGTATTAGTTGGTGAGGACTACACTAATTAAGGGATCATTTGAGAGGAATGGTTTGACAGTTTTCGTTGTTGTTAAATCCTAATCCTTTCTTTTAAACATTTCATCCGAATGGATCCTAAGGTTTTGCTCTGCTTCCATGAAAATTAGGATTTGTATCACTTGGGAGCCAGGAAGATCGGGGTGACCTCACTCCCTCCATTGGGTTGCCTCCCGGCTGCAATCACCTTATTTGGAAATCATGAGCAGGGATGCGTCGCTAGAATCAACTCCGACGCCCAAGGGTTTAACAAGAAGATAACCTCTGCCGCAGACAATCTCCAAAAGCAACTTTCAGGCCTTAAAGTCGTCATCTTCGACATTTACAAGCCTCTCTACGATGTCATTAAAGCCCCAGCAAATTACGGTACTGAACTATTTCTCAACCAGTATATGTTCAAACGGATAGATACTATAATCTTCTTTGGTTAACTTGCAGGATTCGCCGAAGCAAGAAGAGGTTGCTGTGGAACGGGAATCGTAGAGACAACGTCACTGCTGTGCAATCCAAACTCAGTCGGAACTTGTTCCAACGCGACTCAGTACGTGTTTTGGGATAGCGTCCATCCATCTCAAGCCGCTAACCAAGTGCTTGCCGATGCATTGATCATCCAAGGCATCTCCCTCATTGGATAAGAGGATTATACGGATCTTTCTGTATCTCAAAAAATGTTTAAAGACTGCTACTACTTGCACTGCTATGTTTACAAAGATAGTGACTCAAAAGCTTAATAAGTAGTATGCAATTTGTTAATTTATCAAATGGTTTATAAATCAAACGTGTGTCTGTGTGTGTGTGTGTGTGTGAGAGAGAGAGAGAGAGAGAGAGAGAGAGAGATCAACATTTTTAACTAAACATTATGTTCTGATTGATTTAGCTAAACAGTTTTAACGGAAGAGATTTTATACAGAACCAATTAGATTTAGCTAAACATTTAGCAAATCTTTTGCAGTGTTTTGCAAATTTACCAAAAGACAGCACCAAAATGCTTTGGTAGGAACTGTAGTAAAAAGCTATATAGCAAGGCAAAACGCCACCAGTTTTTAGCTCAAGTAGCGGCCAGACTTAGCAAACACAGGGTGATCTGCGCTGGTCCTGGTACCATTTGCCACCTTCAAAACTTGAGCTGCTGCTTTCTCAGAACTGTTCAACTCCCACAGCATTCCCGACGTTCCTGTTATCTGTACTGCACGCCCAGGCTGGAGAGAGACCGAACAGATAACTTTAGTGTTATTCAGTCATATGAAAATGAAGAATAAAAACCCTCTGAACCAAAAATCACGATTTGTTGGAATCCATTTGTCCCACATAGGACAGAGGGAAGGAGAAAGAGCCATTTAAATAGAATTACCCCACTCTAACACACACCAAGGTCTTTTGTGATAAAACCCTATACCAACCCTCAGCCCATCGACCTGAAAAATTTTACATGATTACTCACAAACCTCAAGATTCTCAGCAAAAGAGTGGCGCCGATCCCTTGGAGTTGTCTTCAAGTTGGAGTTTCCAGTGGATGATGCTTCTGTAAGAAGAACTCTGCCTCCTGTAGTTGCTGATCTTGAACTTCCTGCAGTGGCTCCACTCTGTCTGTAAACCTTCTTCCGGTATCCTGTAGCTTCATAACCTCCATGGTTCCCAGAGTTGGTATGAACATTTGAGTTAGCATATGTCCTGGACTGTTAAAAACAGGGGACAAAAAAGTAACGAAACAATCAGTTCAGTCCACAACAAAAACGAGCGTTATAACACATGAAAACTGAACCTACCTTATTCTGGAAATTATCATTTCCATTGCTGCTACCCAACTGTGATTCTCTGCTTAGAACCTGTGACATCATGAATCAAATAAGAATAACTTGCACTAAATACACACATGCAGAAACACACATATGACGAGGCTGATTAGAAAATAAGGTGGATTACTTACAAAAGGATAATCCGCAACGACATTAGTACCAAAACTTTGATACATGACTGGCGGGCATAGCAGAGGAGCTGTAGGTGGCCTTGGGGAAACGCTATACTGGACCGGGTGCAGGGCAGGCCAGTTTGGAGATTGCAAAGATCTTTGTGGCAGCTGAAGAGTATAGTAATCTTGCATAGCCTTGCAGCGATCTTCTTTGCTTTGAGCTACAGCCACATAAAGTTTTCTTCCTTCCAACATAGCTCCTGAGAAAAAAAATTCAATCAGACAGGCATTAAACCAAATATAGGCTTAATAGAAGCAAAAGCAGGAAAAGACACAACGAGATCTTGTTTACCATTAAGATTACTGAGAGCTTTGGCAGCTTCTTGAAGAGTTGAGAAGCAAACAAAACCAAAACCTCTGCTCATCCCGTTACCATCACGCATCACTTTGGCAGACAGAATCTTCCCAAAGGCACTGCAATGTTCTCCTAATTTGCTATCATCAACAGATTCAGCTAAATTCTTAACATAGAGATTCATAGACTTAAGTTTCTCGATCTCACTGTTCAGCATTTCCTCTTTACATTTTAGAAACTTTTCCCTCTCAGCTTTCTTTTGAGCCCTTCCTACAAACAAATGTTTTGATCCTGTGGAAAAAAATTTATTAGTGAAAGTTGCAGACATAATTATACTATCAACAAAACAAGCTACAACGAGATGAAGGAAGTTGGAGGTTTACCCAGCAGTGCACCATTCATGCCCTCAACAGCCTTCTTAGCCTCTTCTGGCGACTCAAAGTTAGCAAACCCAAAACCTTTTGACTTCCCTTTCTCATCCTTCATGATGGCAAGACTATAAACACTTCCGTACCGAGAGAACATCTCTCGAAGCAGATCCTCAGTTACATGTTCATCAAGATTCTTCACAAACAGATTTGTAAATTTGGATTCATTCTGGGCTGGTATCCTGTCACTTTTCTTAACAAATTTCGACACATATCTAATGAAAAATGCAGGATAAGTTTATTAATGAACAAACAATAAATGCAAAACCGATAAGAAAATCATGTAACACATTGCACAAGACCATCTATAAACAATCAAACATCACAAAAACAAGAAAACTGAATGAATAAACAAGAACAAAGGAAACAGAGGGCTTACAGCTTCTTCCCCTTAATGATTGTATCATTGAGAGCATTGACAGCAGCCACAGCCGATTCCTCTTTGTCAAACAGGACAAACCCGAAACCCTTGCTCTTCCCATTTTGTTCGGCTACCTTGCAAGAAAGTATAGTCCCGAATTCCCCGAACATGTCCTGCAAGTGAGTGCTGGTGATTTCAGGGTCAAGGTTCTTCACAAAGACATTGCCAAGACCAGTTTTCCTTGGAACAGAATCCCTCTGAGACCACATTATTCTCATGGTTTTCCCTTTCAGCTCAGTGTGATTCAGACAAGCCATAGCCTTGGATGCTGACCAAAACAGACCGAAAACATCAAAGATCGAAAACATATGGATATCACACAGATAAAGTAACAAAAACATCAACAAATCTAACCGAAAAATCATACGTGATAACAGAGGAGAAGAAATTAAGAGCACCAAAATCCCAATTAAGAAAAATGGAGTACGAAAATCCCAAATTAAACCCAAGAAACACATTCTTAAGCCCAAGAAACAGAACCACCAGAAACCCATTTTCTCGAAATTGAAAATATTTTCTCCACTAAGCAAGAATTCCCTAAAACCCTAATCAAAGAGCAAGATTAAAGAACCCTAGGCACCAAAACCAGAATAAAACTCCAAGAACAAACCGAATAAAAGAAACCCATTTCCCAGATTCATCCATAAACAAGAAACGTAAACGTAACCAAGATTTAGATACTCTCACAAAGAATGTTAGATAGAGAACAGAGAGATATACAGGGAACCAGAGCTACCATTGTTGACAGAAAAGAAGAGAGAGAGGCGGTGGGGTTTTTGGTTACCGTGGGAGTGGGAGTAGAAGTTGACATAGCCGTAGCGGAGGGACTCGCCGGAGTGGGAGTCACGGCAGAGACGGACGGAGGCGATGGGACCCATGAAACGAAAAGTAGCGAGGAGGTCTTCCTCGGTGACCTGTGGGTCCAGGTCGCCCACATACAGAGAGAATATCTCAGGATCGACCGGCGCCGGCGGCCGTACTGGTAGCGTCGGCAGTAGTGGTGGTGGTGGCGGTAGCGGCATTGGTGTTTCAGGGTCTGACAGCTCTGCCGCCATTTTCCTTGCAGTCCAAGAATCGCAGAGCTCAGAGAAGTGAGGGGAGAGAGAGAGAGAGAGAGAGATTTGTCTGTTTGTTACAACGGTGAGGGTCGTGTCGTGTGTGTGAACTGTACGGGTATATAAATTGCGAGGGAGAAAAATGAAGTGTACGGATGCTGCACGCTGGCGGGTAGGATTTAAGAGGCTACTCGCCATGGTTGGGTTGCGATTTGGGAATGCTGAGCGTCGCGAGGGCGGGCGGGAAACTTCAGAACGCTGTCGTTCTGGTTGGCATCCAATGCACAGCCGTCGAAACTTGAAGATTTGAGTTAATCTAATTTGGACGGCTGAGATTGTGCTTGGTTCCCAAGTTAGAAAGATCAACCTAACTGAATTGGTTAGGAGTTAACCGTGTAAGAAAAAAGGAAGGTTAGTGTCACTCGTTCGCTAGCTTCATTTACCTCACACAAATAAAAAATTACAAATTGTTGTACGTATGGATGGCCAACGTGGGTTGGATAAGCCTCTACCTTTTTTTTTGGTCGATAACCTTTACTTTAGGAATAGAGTAAATAGTTCTCGTCCTTAGCTACACTTTATGTTTGTGTAATATTATAGTAGTTTATCTGGGACTTTTGTCTATATAAAGGATTTAATATGAGAGCTGTTATTCTTATTCCAATGTCTTATCTTTCCATCCACTTTTTATGACTTTTTTAATTACAAATTTGTTCATTTGTAAAATGACTAATAAGGACCTTAGTTACCCTCTTTTGCATTATTGTTTTTTTTTATAAAAAATATTAAAGAAAAGTTTGAGTTTGATAACTCTTTAGACTATTTGTCTTCCTTAAACCCTAACTCATCATTTCCATCACTCATCCTTCCCATCTCTTTTCATTCAGAGAAAGCAAAAAGAATGAACTTAGAAGATGACGTTTTTATGGAAGAAGTAGATGATTATATTTCCATTGAAGAGGTAAAAGAATAATTTTTTGTGTGCAATTGTTAGGATTTAAACATTTGCCTTCTGGGTTTTTATTTTACATGCAATTGATGAAAGTTTTAATTCTCGGAGAAATACAAATGTATTAGGTCTTGTAACTATCATTTTTGTGTCTCATGTTACACAGCCTGATTTCAGAAATCGAATGGAATGGCTTTTTATTTTTGGGTTTACCTGGACAATAAAGAAGTGCTCGAATGTTGGGTCTAAGACGAGATTATTTGTATGTGTATGCAGTGTCTTTAAAGCCTGAACTGTTTGAAGGGATGTGCTTCGATTTTACTAAAGGACTCAATCAGATGATCTTATTAAGGATTGAATGCATTTACTTTAAGTTTAAGTTATAAATTTCTTGTAGTCTAGTTTAATTAAGTTGTACTTTTATGCAAATGTTCTTGAAATCAGGTATGTGATTCAACTGTCTTTATGTATGTATAATACAACCACTCGACAAACCATGCAACTTTTCCAATATACGCTTCTGGGTATCATTAGAGGTAATGCATAGATACTCCATATTTTCTGCACTTTTCGTTTCAATATGGTATCCATTTAAACGTATGTCTTTGAAACTCAACAAATTTCGAGTAGATCGAGTAACATACAACGCATTTTGTATGGACAATATTGTTCCATTTGGTAACATAATCTAGGCTTTCCCTAAGCCTTCAATTACATCTGATTTGCCTGATATTGTTATTACCCTTACTCTTGTAAGCATCAAGTTTAAGAAATACTTTCGATCACGAAGTATTGTATGTGTGGTTGCGCAGTCTGCAAGACAAATATCTCTGCCATTTCTCATGTTCTGAGAATAACTATAGTTTTTATCCATGCTTTCTAAGTAAAAAGGGACCACATTTAAAAACAACTTATAACATGAAATTTGAATGCCACTTTTATTGAATCGAAATGCTAGTCTTAAACTACAAGTTCAGAATAATAAAAGTACATCAAATATAAATGATTCAGTTGGACCGGTATACTTCATTCCCCATTTCCACAATAAAGTCTGAAACATCTAGGTGAGTTGTGTTCAACTGCCCTGATAAGTCGCACACTGGATCAGGTATATCCATTGGTTTAGCTTGGTCAAGAAAATTAGTCTCGACACCCTTCTCCTTAAAGGAGGCTTGATATAGATCCACCAGATGTTTTAAGGTACGACAAGTACGCGCCCAATGTCCATGACCACCATACCTATGGTAGGCTCCTTCAGAATTTCTGGGAGCATTGTTCATGTGAGCTTTGCCTTTGTGGTGATTCACATTTTTAAAGCTCGAGCCTGAATTTTTCCTTAGAACCTGGTTGTGAAACTAACCACCATGGTTCTTGCCTTTCTTGTTCCATCGACTTCGCTTGTGGCCACATCCTCGTTTATGATTATTGCCACTAGACTATGTGGCGTTCACTTCGAGGGAAGTAGCATTCACTTCTGGGAATGGTGCAGATCCAGTAGGTCTGGACTGATGATTTTTCATCAAGAGCTCATTGTTTTGTTCAACTACCAAAAACACAGATATTAGCTGGTTGTATTCAATGAAGCCTTATGCTCTATATTGCTGCTGCAGGAGCATGTTAGAGGCATGAAATGTGTTTAAAGTCTTTTCCAGCATATCTTCCTCAGTAATGGTATTCCCACAGAGCTTTATTTGAGAGATAATTTTGAACAATGCAGAATTGTACTTAGCCATTGACTTGAAATCCTAGATCCTTAGGTGAGTCCACTCATAGCAAGCCCTTGGAATAATCATCGTTGTCTGGTGATTGTATCTGTTTCTCAATGCTTTCCAAAGAGCTAACAAATCTTCAACTGTTAAGTACTCGCTCTTTAGTCCCTCATCAAGATGGCAACGAATAAGATCATGGCCTTCGCTCGATCTTGAGAGGATGAGCTAGTTTCTTCCTTAATGGTATCTCCAAGATTCCCTGGTTCCAGATGGATCTTGGTATCTAGTACCCAGGTAAGGTAATTCTTTCCTGTAATGTCCAGGGCAGCAAAATCAAGTTTTGCCAAGTTCGTCATTTTCTTTTCTAAAAGAAAAATGAGATGTGTAAGAACTTGCAATAATATGTATTTTGAAGGTATGTAGTGTTAGAACTTCTGGTTTTTACAAGTTTTTAATTTTGATCTTCAGGCCAAAATGATAAGCACTGGATCTTCAGGCTCGAGATTTTCAAGATGAATGAGGAGGGCGATTGTATTGCACCATTCTCATTGAAATAATATAACATATGATGGGAGATTATTTTGCACCACTTTAGTAGCAGGAAAATTTAAATACGCATAGTAAGGTGGGCGATTATACCGCACCACCTAAAATTGCAATGAAATTAAATAGCAAGTAAATTTAAATATGCAGGGCAGGGTGGGCAATTGTACCGCTCCACCTAAAATTTGCAATAAAATTATATTTACGGTCCAAGATAGGCGATTATATCGCACCATCTTAGATTGTAGTAAGATTAAATTTGTAGTTCAAGATGGGCGATTACACCGCATCATCTTGGATTGCAGTAAAATCAACATAAATAAATATTGGGTTAGTAATCAAGATCTACACCAAACAAGAAATCAAAGATGTATGTAACTGTTAGATTGAGAACTAAAAGCAGGCATGGAGCAAACAGTTTGTCGATAGGGTATATCGCTCAGTTGAGGCAAAGGAAGAAGATGAACAGTAAAATCCTTAAAGGCAACATTTTTTTCTTTCTTTCGTTCGGCAAAGAGAAATGAGAAATGGTTAGATTTTAGAGACTTGTGCTAATAACGTGTTATAAATATGTAAAAGTTAGAGATATAACCTTTAATAGTGACTGAAGTGAAGCAGGTGTAAAATATCACATTGAAATTATAGCACAAGAGGATGATAAATAAAAGAGGGAGGCATAGATACTAAAGTTTTTCTTTCTTCTCTGTATATTCTTTATATCCTTTAACTGTAGTCGGAGCACTTTATTTATAGAGTGGCTCCATACAAACAGGTTCTTACAGTTTAAAATTTACATCGCATGTTTTGAAAACAATCCTTTTGTTTCCAAAGTCTATTTCAATTTGCAAGGGCATTGACAATGTGTGTGTGGGCATTCATAACAAGACCAGGGATCTGCTGTCCCCAAACTTGTGTCTACCTGTGTCTCATTACAATTTTTTGGCAAGTGTCCTTTAGTTTAACTCCAAATTCACACAGTCAAAGTTTCAAGATTAAATAAATTAAAACTAAAAGTTAAAGAAAATAAAACCAACAGTCACTCAAACTCCCCACCAACACCAATCCGACCGCCACACCCTCCCCAACACATAGTAATTTGTCATCGAAACATCCTTCTCTCTCCTTGCCATTTTTTTCTCTCTTCACATAGTCATGATAAAAACAGTCTGTCTCCCAGTTTGAGTTCCATTATTTTTCTCCCTCCACTTCCTCAAAAAATGGAGACCCAACCCACTTCCTGCAAATTGGAACACCACCGCCATCTCCATTTTCATTACTATTGCAAATCTGGAGCCCCAACTCCTATGGCCGCTCTCCCTCTCCTTCGCCGACATCTCTTGTCGCCCAAACTACCACCCAATCTGTGCCCCAGCCATCAACCTCCCTCCAAACCCTAACTCCCAACAGGCCATCATCGTCGCCCCTGTCCCCCAACCCCTCTCTGCCCCCAAATCTCCCGTCCCTTACACTTCCAATCCCTTTTGGTTTTATTTTCTTTAATTTTTAATTTTAATTTATTTAATCTAATGAAACTTTGATAGTGTTAATTTGGACTTAAACTAAACGAGACATGTCGAAAAATTATAAAAGAGACACGGATAGTGACACAAGTTTGGGGACAACAAATCCCTGGCCTTCATAACAATGCCAATGTTTTCAACAAATAAATGAATTTTTACTCTGTTGTCAAGTTTCCACAAACTTTTAGGCTTGGTCTATTTCGCCCTGGACTATTATAACTCTTAACTTTACTCATACAATCATACTTCACATTTCAAGAAAGGAAAAGCAAGAAGACATTAGAAAAGCAAGAGGACAATATAATATAACCCGAACTCTAATTATAAAAATTCAGAAGGGCAATCTCTTAAAATTAAAGTTGAGGGAGAAATTGACCAATTATAAAAAATTAGTTAAAGTTAAAGTTAAAGTTCATGGGAAATTGGCAGTTCCTTACAAGTTCGAAGCGGAAATTGATAGCTGCTTACAAGTTCGAAACAAAAATCAACAAATTCCTCTATAATGATAACCTTTAATGGCCATACGTGACTTTTGTAGATAGAAGATTTGTCAAAATAAAAGTTCAGAGAAGTAAGGTTCAGTCTCACTTCTATTAGAAAAATATTTTATACATAAATCACAAGATGTGATCTCAACTAGCATTTTTTAAAACGAAGAAACCAAAATGATTTTTCTCTTTATTCATGGTTATTGGGATTTTAGCCTTATGGACCCTTTTGAACCATTAAACCCAAGGGTTTTGGGGTTAAACCTGCCCAAACAATTCCAGTCTTTTCTACTTCGCGGGTTGTTTGCATTTCAACTCAAAAGCTGCAAAATCGACCCTTCACTGCACACAGAGTTCTCTTCTACCTTCAACTCTTTGATGCCAGTAGTATCAGACATGAGAGCTCTCCGAGCAATCTCCACCCACAAACACCTCCTCAAACCCACCCTCTCCATACCTTCCCTCGCCTCCTTCCAATCCCTCCAAAACCCTAACTTTTCCCGCCATATCCACTCCACAAGCCGTCTCCACCATGCCGAAGAGCCGGGCTCCGCCGCCGATTCCCTGCAAACGCACAACAGTTCGAGCTCCAAGGGAGAAACCCGTCGCGGTTGGTCTGTCTTTCGTCCTGTCTCGCACACATTGGCGACTCAAAGGGTCCCGAATACCAGCGGCGATGGACAAGAACTAAGAGGCGAAAATGAAAGCGAAACCCAATTGGGTTTATCGAGTTTGGGAAATGGGTTCGACGAGATTGAGAAAGATAGGGTTCAGAGGAGTGGTAAAAGTGAAACCCAATTGGGTTTATCAAATTTTGGATATGGGTTCGATGAGATTGAGAGAGATGAAGCTCATAGGAGTGCTAAAAGTGAAGCCCGTATGGGTTTATCGAATTTACGAAGTGAGGTTGGCGGGTTTGAGAGAGATGAGGCTGTTAGGAGTGTTAAGAAAGTAAATGCAGGGTCTAAGCTTTTTGGGGGAATAGTAAGGAGTAAGAAGAAGGGGAAGGTTAAAACTAGCTGGGTTTGCTCGAATTGTGGGGAGTCATTTGGGCAGTGGTGGGGTGAATGCCGGTCTTGTAATGAAATGGGCACATTGAAGCAGTTTTCGGAGACAAGCGATGATGGTAAGGTTAGTGGGTTTGAGGTTTCAGAGAAGGTGGTGCGGTCGTGGATGCCGCTGGAGGCAAGCGAGGTTGGGCCAACGCGGTTGACAGATGTGAACCGGGGGATTAATTGGACAGAAAGGCGGATTCCTTTGTAAGTTTATCATTTTGGTATTTCTATTTACACTGTGTTTGAACTCTTGATGAGTTGGGAAATCATTTTTGAAATTGCATATGTTGGTTTGGTTAATATTTAGGCCTGGACTCTTTGGATGTGAAGTTGCAAGGGTGCTTGGTGGTGGTGTTGTGCAAGGTTTGATCACATTATGCATCTTTTTTTTTTCTTTTTTTCTATTAACTTCTGAAAGCTAATTGTTTGCCCCCTGACTCGATTATCTTCAAATTTTGAAGTGATACTCTTTTTCGGCTTCAAGGTAAAGTGGAGAAAATGTCCATGGTAATCAAATCAAGTTATATTTGGATGTAGTCTAGATGTTGTTGGCAGACAGTCTTATTATCTTCACTTGATACTACTGAAGACAGTGATGAAATCGTATTAATTTATAGACTGTTCAATAGTTAGGTGGTTTTTCTTGTCTCCCTTTTTGGATTTTTTTTAAAATTATTTCTCTTGGTTGGTTGGGACCTGGTGATGGAGGGAAGCTTTAATATTTACTCCCAGTCTTTGAAGCGGATATATTAACATTTTTAATGCACTTATTTCTGTCTGTGAAGGTTCATTAATTTTGATTGGCGGTGATCCAGGAGTCGGCAAGAGTACACTCGTGTTGCAGGTAGTAAGTTGTTAGGATTCATTTATGGAGCTTTGCTTTTGCAGTCTGCATACAAATTTTGTGTTGCTGTGGAAATTTTTTTTGTTTCTCAATGTTGATTATGATCTTCTCTGTTTGTGGTTCTGTTTTCATGTAAAACCATACATTTGAATTGGAAGATGGCTTCACTAATAGCTGAAGGGCAAGGGCTTGGTAAAGCGGCCTCTGTTGTGTATGTCTCAGGTGAAGAGGTTAGCATTTTCTTAAGCCGGGTTTTGGTAGATCATCATGAACTATGTGTGCATTCCAGTCTTATATGTTTTTTTAGATACTGTTTTTTAAATGTCTGTGTCACTGTCACTTGAAAGATTTATTGAATTCTTATCTGAAATAAGGTAACTTCATTAACTGTAAGATATATATATTTTTTTCAATTGAAAACGCCTACTGTTATCCCATTTAGATTGAAAATATGGCTAAAAGGCTTTGGCGGTAGAGCTGAAGTGATTTTAGTTTTGGTAGTTGAGAAGCCTAAAACATCTGGGGTTTCTGGACACTTGTTAATCTCCAATTTTTGTGCTGTATAATTTTGGTTTCACCATGATGTATCATTTTTCTTAAAACTTTAGGCTATGGCATGTTAATTAACATTGATGTCTGGTGGCAGAGTGTTGAGCAAATTGGAAGCAGAGCTGACCGTATGAAGATTGAAACAGAGGATCTTTTCTTGTACTCAAGTACCGATATTGAGGTGCACATTCTGGGCTTCTGCTGACTAAATCTTGTATTTGCTTTTACTCTTACTCAGCTAGAGATTACTAAGACCCGGCTGTTGTTACCTTTTATTTTATTTTATATTAATCTGGTTCATTGTCGAGAAATCCTTGGGATAAATGAAGATTTTGTTTGTTTACTTACACAACAACAACAACAACAACAACAAAGCCTTTTCCCACTAAGTGGGGTCGGCTATATGAATCCTAGAACGCCATTGCGCTCGGTTTTGTGTCATGTCCTCCGTTAGATCCAAGTACTCTAAGTCTTTTCTTAGAGTCTCTTCCAAAGTTTTCCTAGGTCTTCCTCTACCCCTTCGGCCCTGGACCTCTGTCCCGTAGTCACATCTTCGAACCGGAGCGTCAGTCGGCCTTCTTTGCACATGTCCAAATCACCGGAGCCGATTTTCTCTCATCTTTCCTACAATTTCGGCTACTCCTACTTTACCTCGGATATCCTCATTCCCAATCTTATCCTTTCTCGTGTGCCCACACCTCCCACGAAGCATCCTCATCTCCGCGACACCCATTTTGTGTACGTGTTGATGCTTCACCACCCAACATTTTGTGCCATACAACATCGATGGCCTTATTGTCGTCCTATAAAATTTTCCCTTGAGCTTCAGTGGCCTACGACGGTCACACACAACACGCCGGATGCACTCTTTCCATCCAGCTCGTATTCTATGGTTGAGATCTCCATCTAATTCTCCGTTCTCTTGCAAGATAGATCCTAGGTAGCGAAAACGGTCGCTTTTTGTGATCTTCGCTAGATTGCTCCGGTCATTAGTGTGGATAAGTATATAAATGGATAGAGATAGGAAAGCAAACACAAGATGTACGTGGTTCACCCAGATTGGCTACGTCCACGGAATAGAAGAGTTCTCATTAATTGTGAAGGGTTTACACAAGTACATAGGTTCAAGCTCTCCTTTAGTGAGTACAAGTGAAAGATTTAGTACAAATGACATTAGGAAATATTGTGGGAGAATGATCTCGTAATCACGAAAACTTCTAAGTATCGGAGTGTGGTGTCGTCTTGACTTGCCTTATCTGTCTCATAGGTAGATGTGGCATCTTCTCTGGAAGTACTCTTCCTCCATCCAGGGGTGGTATCTTTAACTGGTGGAGATGCACAAGGTAATGTATCAATTTCACTTGAAGCTTACTTGTAGTTTCAGGCTTGGTCAAGCGCGATACAAAAACCATGTAGTAGGAGTCCCCCAAGTCGCCGAGTTAGGGGGTCTGCTGAAAGAGGTGACAGACAAGGTAAGCAATCAGAGCTCCGACTGATTGTTCACCTTCTCCCCATCTTGCAGCAGCATGAAGGATAAAGAGAAAGAAAAATGAGAAGAGATGATATGAGATACTTTTGCTTTTGAAGAAGTAACTTTCCACAGGCTTATTCTTGAACTGAGCTGGAGGGTTTTTCTGGTTTCCTCCAGAGTATTAAGGCCGACTGAAGAATTTGAGGGTCAAAACAAGTCCATCAAATCTAGAGTACGTTCCACCCTGCTGATATGGGATACTTTTTGCTTTTGACAGAGTAATGGATGTATCGGCACGTGTTCTGTTACGCTTGTCTCCACATGCTTCCTTGTATCCTTCGCACTTGCCCTATCTGTTCCTCAAGCAGATGCGGAATCTTCCCTGGAAACATAAGATGTTGAAGATGAGTACTCGAGAGCAATGCCAGGTAAAGTAATCAGGTAAGGGGTTCCAGGCAGTCAGTTCCTGGCTGGAAGCTTGATTCCAAGTGCTGACTGATTGCTCTCTTTCTCCTTGTCTTGCAGGTAAAAACAAGGCCAAAAGAAAAGACAGGGAAAAAGCATGATATGGGATACTCTTGCTTTTAACCCTGATGATATGAGATATTCTTGCTCTAGTATAGCTTGTTTGCAGAGGTATTATCGGGGGGAAAGAAAGCTAAATATTTTGAAAGGCTTCGTTGGGAGTGCCCTCTTAGATATGATGAAGGGTTGAGCATTTTTGCAGGTCTGCCTGTCCGTTGGGGATGGAGGTCGACATATATAGGAGTCTCCTTAACAACAAGTAGTAATGCTATTCCTTTACCCTGCTTGGTCATAGCACGGTAGTGGGAGCTGCCAGTTTCACATGTTTTAACTCTGTCAGAGCACTTTGAAAAGGTGGTCTGTGGTATTCGGCTCTCGAGATTCGGAGAACGATACCTCTTCGATTTTTGAGAAAGCAATCATGTTGGGGGTCTGACTCTCGAGATTCGGAGAGCAGTGTCTCTTCGATTTTTGAGGAAGTAATCATGTTGGGAGTCTGGCTCTCGAGATTCGGAGGGCGGTGCCTCTTCGATTTTGGAGCAAGCAATCTTGTTGGGAGTGTTGTCTCGAATGTGAGTAAAGGTTGGGCATGTTTGCTAGTCTACCTTGCCACGAAGCACAAAGGTTGACACACAGGGACTTTCCAATTATCCAGCAATGGTACTGTTCCTTTACCCTCTCTTCGATTTTGAGAAAGTAGTCATGTTGGGAGTCTGGCTCTCGAGATTCGGAGGACGGTGCCTCTTCGATTTTGGAGCAAGCAATCTTGTTGGGAGTGTTTTCTCGAATGTGAGTAAAGGTTGGGCATGTTTTGCTAGTCTACCTTGCCACGAAGCACAGAGGTTGACACACAGGGACTTTCCAATTATCCAGCAGTGGTACTGTTCCTTTACCCTTGTGGATAATAATATGGTAGCTAGACCTTCAAAATTTATGTGTCTAAACTTTTGTTAGTGCTGTTTCTTTGCTATTCTTTTACCTTTCTTGGTCAGAGCGATGTAGTGGGAGCTGCAAGCTTCACGTGCTCAACTTTGGCAGAGAACTTTGGCAAAGTTATCTGTGGTACCCATGAGCTATTGTTGCGTGTGGGAAGTGGGTGATTGAACAGTAAGATTCATGTGCTTTCTACTTCACCAGAAGTCTTCGACAGAATGCCCATAATTTCTGCAAAGCTGAGTGTGCGTGTGACAGGTGCTGACAAGGCTAGAAAAGTAGGTGCCTCTTCGATTTCTGAGATCATCCCTCGTGGTCTCTGAGCAGCCCAGCTTTTGAGAAAGCGAGCGCCTCTTCGATTGATTCGGAGAGAACGATGCCTCATCGATTTTTGAGAAAAGCAATCATGTGGGTCTGGCGTGCCTCTTCGATTTTGGAGCAAGCAATCTTGTTGGGAGTGTTTTCTCGAATGTGAGTAAAGGTTGGGCATGTTTGCTAGTCTACCTTGCCACGAAGCACAGAGGTTGACACACAGGGACTTTCCAATTATCCAGCAATGGTACTGTTCCTTTACCCTCTCTTCGATTTTTAAGAAAGTAGTCATGTTGGGAGTCTGGCTCTCGAGATTCGGAGGACGGTGCCTCTTCGATTGTTGGAGCAAGCAATCTTATTGGGAGTGTTTTCTCGAATGTGAGTAAAGGTTGGGCATGTTTGCTAGTCTACCTTGCCACGAAGCACAGAGGTTGACACACAGGGACTTTCCAATTATCCAGCAGTGGTACTGTTCCTTTACCCTTGTGGGTAATAATATGGTAGCTAGACCTTCAAAATTTATGGGTCTAAACTTTGTTAGTGTTGTTTCTTTGCTATTCTTTTACCCTTCTTGGTCAGAGCGATGTAGTGGGAGCTGCAAGCTTCACGTGATCAACTTTGGCAGAGAACTTTGGCAAAGTTATCTGTGGTACCCATGAGCTATTGTTGCGTGTGGGAAGTGGGTGATTGAACAGTAAGATTCATGTGTTTTCTACTTCCCCAGAAGTCTTTGACAGAATGCCCATAATTTCCGCAAAGCTGAGTGTGCGTGTGACAGGTGCTGCTGACAAGGCTGGAAAAGTAGGTGCCTCTTCGATTTCTGAGAGCGGCCCTCGTGGTCTCTGGGGAGCCCAGCTTTTTGAGAAAGCGAGCGCATCTTCGATTTCTGAGATCGGCCTTCGTGGTCTTTGAGCAGCCCAACTTTTGAGAAAGCAAACGCCTCTTCGATTTCTGAGATCAACCCTCGTGATCTCTAAGCAGCCCAGCTTTTGAGAAAGCAAACGCCTCTTCGATTTCTGAGCAGGCGCCTCTTCGATTTCTGAAGCTCCGTCGAGTGCAGATTTTTATAGGGGCTGGCATTAAGTTTCAAATCACACTTGAATCTCCACCAGTAGAAGCTTCATTCTTGCACTTCTAAGATCTTGATTTGTCCGACCTCTTCTCTCTTCAACACCTTTGAAAATGTCTGGCCCCTCCGACCGTCGTTTTGACTTGAACCTTGTTGAAGAGGCAGCCCCGCCTTCTCCAGACAACATATGGCGCCCATCCTTCGTCTCCCCTACTGTTCCTCTTACCGTTGGGGATTCCGTGATGAAGAATGATATGACCGCTGCGGTGGTGGCCAGGAACCTTCTCACTCCCAAAGATAACAGACTACTTTTCCAAACGGTCTCTGATGAGTTAGCTGTTAAGGATTCGCTGGCTCTCAGTGTTCAGTGTGCAGGTTCTGTGTCTAATATGGCCCAACGCCTATTTGCTCGAACCCGCCAAGTTGAATCATTGGCGGCTGAAGTTATGAGTCTCAAACAGGAGATTAGAGGGCTCAAGCATGAGAATAAATAGTTGCACCGGCTCGCACATGACTATGCTACAAACATGAAGAGGAAGCTTGACCAGATGAAGGAAACTGATGGTCAGGTTTTACTTGATCATCAGAGATTTGTGGGTTTGTTCCAAGGGCATTTATTGCCTTCGTCTTCTGGGGCTGTACCGCGTAATGAAGCTCCAAATGATCAACCTCTGATGCCTCCTCCTTCTAGGGTTCTGTCCAGTACTGAGGCTCCAAATGATCCCCCTCCGGTGCCTTCTCTTTCTGGGGCTCTACCGACTGCTGAGACTTCTCCTAAGCAACCTTTGTGAAGGCTCCCTCTTGTGTGTTTATTTTGACTCATGTATATGTACATATTTGTAGCTTATCGGGGATATCAATAAATAAGCTTTTCTTCATTTCAACGTATTGTGTTAAATACACCAAAGCCTTCTTCGCTAAATTCTTTGAATTTTCTTTTGTTGAAGCTTGTATGTTGAAGCTTTCAGAGTGGAGCATGTAGGTTGGGGTAGTGTTCCCTTAATTTCCCGAGTGAGGAAAACTTCTCGGTTGGAGACTTGGAAAATCCGAGTCACTGAGTAGGATCGGCTATATGAATCTTAGAACGCCATTGTGCTCGATCCTGTGTCATGTCCTTCGTTAGATCCAAGTACTCTAAGTCTTTTCTTAGAGTCTCTTCCAAAGTTTTCCTAGGTCTTCCTCTACCCTTTCGGCCCTGAACCTCTGTCCCATAGTCGCATCTTCTAATCGGAGCGTCAGTAGGCCTTTTTTGCACATGTCCAAACCACCGTAACCGATTTTCTCTCATCTTTCCTTCAATTTCGGCTACTCCTACTTTACCCCGGATATCCTCATTCCTAATCTTATCCTTTCTCGTGTGCCCACACATCCAACGAAACATCCTCATCTCCGCTACACTCATTTTGTGTACGTGTTGATGTTTCACCGCCCAACATTCTGTGCCATACAGCATCGCCGGCCTTATTGCCGTCCTATAAAATTTTCCCTTGAGCTTCAGTGGCATACGGCGGTCACACAACACGCCGGATGCACTCTTCCACTTCATCCATCCAGCTTGTATTCTATGGTTGAGATCTCCATCTAATTCTCCGTTCTTTTGCAAGATAGATCCTAGGTAACGAAAACGGTCGCTCTTTGGTATTTCTTGATCTCCGATCCTCACCCCTAACTCGTTTTGGCCTCCATTTGCACTGAACTTGCACTCCATATATATTCTGTCTTTGATCGGCTTAGGCGAAGACCTTTAGATTCCAACACTTCTCTCCAAAGGTTAAGCTTTGCATTTACCCCTTCCTGAGTTTCATCTATCAACACTATATCGTCTGCGAAAAGCATACACCAAGGAATATCATCTTGAATATGTCCTGTTAACTCATCCATTACCAACGCAAAAAGGTAAGGACTTAAGGATGAGCCTTGATGTAATCCTACAGATATGGGAAAGCTTTCGGTTTGTCCTTCATGAGTTCTTACGGCAGTCTTTGCTCCTTCATACATATCCTTTATAGCTTGGATATATGCTACTCGTACTCCTTTCTTCTCTAAAATCCTCCAAAGAATGTCTCTTGGGACCCTATCATACGCTTTTTCCAAATCTATAAAGACCATGTGTAAATCCTTTTTCCCATCTCTATATCTTTCCATCAATCTTCGTAAGAGATAGATTGCCTCCATGGTTGAGCGCCTTGGCATGAACCCAAATTGGTTGTCCGAAACCCGTGTCTCTTGCCTCAATTTATGCTCAATGACTCTCTCCCAGAGTTTCATTGTATGACTCATTAGCTTAATACCCCTATAGTTCATGCAATTTTGTACGTCGCCCTTATTCTTGTAGATAGGCACTAAAGTGCTCGTTCGCCACTCATTTGGCATCTTCTTCGTTTTCAAAATCCTATTGAAAAGGTCAGTGAGCCATGTTATACCTGTCTCTCCCAAAAGTTTCCACACTTCGATTGGTATATCGTCTGGGCCTATTGCTTTTTTATGCTTCATCTTCTTCAAAGCTACAACCACTTCTTCCTTCCGGATTCGACGATAAAAAGAGTAGTTTCTACACTCTTCTGAGTTACTCAACTCCCTCATTTCATGTCCTTCATTGAAAAGATTATGAAAATAACCTCTCCATCTGTCTTTAACCGCGTTCTTTGTAGCAAGAACCTTTCCATCCTCATCCTTGATGCACCTCACTTGGTTTAGGTCCCTTGTCTTCTTTTCCCTTGCTCTAGATAGTTTATAGATATCCAACTCTCCTTCTTTGGTATCTAGTCGTTTATACATATCGTCGTAAGCCGCTAACTTAGCTTCTCTGACAGCTTTCTTCGCCTCTTGCTTCGCTTTTCTATACCTTTCACCATTTTCATCGGTCCTCTCCTTGTATAAGGCTTTACAACATTCCTTCTTAGCCTTCACCTTTGTTTGTACCTCCTCATTCCACCACCAAGATTCCTTTTGGTGTGGGGCAAAGCCCTTGGACTCTCCTAATACCTCTTTTGCTAGCCATGGAATCCCACATTTGGCTAGCTTCCCCCTCTCTATCCCACACACATTGGGTGATTACCTTCTCTTTGAAAATGGCTTGTTTTTCTTCTTTTAGATTCCACCATCTAGTCCTTGGGCACTTCCAAGTCTTGTTCTTTTGTCTTACTCTTTTGATATGTACATCCATCACCAACAAGCGATGTTGATTAGCCACGCTCTCTCCTGGTATAACTTTGCAATCCTTACAAGTTATACGATCCCCTTTCCTCATTAGAAGAAAATCTATTTGTGTTTTTGACGACCCACTCTTGTAGGTGATCACATGTTCTTCTCTCTTCTTAAAGAAGGTGTTGGCTAAGAAGAGATCATATGCTATTGCAAAATCTAAGATAGCTTCCCCATCCTCGTTTCTCTCCCCAAAACCATGGCCACCATGAAAACCTTCATAGTTGCCTGTCTCCCTGCCCACGTGTCCATTTAAATCTCCTATAAATAACTTCTCCGTCTGAGCAATTCCTTGCACTAAGTCTCCAAGATCGTCCCAAAATTTCTCCTTCGAACTCGTATCCAACCCTACTTGAGGTGCGTACGCACTAATCACATTGATAAGTTCTTGTCCTATTACAATCTTGATTGCCATGATTCTATCTCCTACCCTCTTGACATCTACAACATCTTGTACCAAGATCTTGTCCACGATGATGCCAACACCGTTTCTCGTTCTATTTGTGCCCGAATACCAAAGTTTAAACCCTGAGTTTTCTAGATCCTTTGCCTTACTACCAACCCACTTAGTTTCTTGTAGGCACATAATATTTATCCTTCTCCTCACCATAACTTCCACTACTTCCATAGATTTTCCCGTTAAGGTTCCTATATTCCACGTTCCTAAACGCATTTTGCTCTCTTGAACTCTACCCTTCTGTCCTAGCTTCTTCACCCTCCCCCGTCTAATAAGATCAAAGTACTTCTTTTGTGTGTCCCGGGTAAAGTTGATAGGAGCATATGCTCCCAAACAACTTTGAGTGGAGTCGTTCGAAAAGAAGTTTCTATGGCCCCCTTGCTCATTTAACACTGCATCCGGATGCCGATGGAGATACAGCGACCCTTGCTCACTTATCACTGTGCTCGGGCCACACAGCGCGCCACTTACGGGTGACGCCCTAGCTTTAGCGCGATTTTGTTCTGGATTCATTTTCATAAGGATTCGACGTGATCATGGAGTGCCGGCTGTTGACTACCTGACGCCCTCCCCCTCCTCCTTTATCCGGGCTTGGGACCGGCCATGTAAGACATAGGCGGAGTTGTTTGTTTACTTACCATCGATTTAATTAGTGTCATGTGAAGTGATGCAAGTTTTGCAACTTTTCTCAATGGTCAAAGTCTGGTGCATGCACCTACCAATTCCTTTTTATGTTTTAAAATTAAGCACGTAGTAAATAAAACTGATACAGTTTATTGGCGTATCACTATTTCCAAATGGTTAAGGCATTAGAAAATGTGAGTCTCTTCATCATTGGATAGCTCAACTCGTGGAATTCATCATAAACTGGGAGGTTGGACTTATAAGGACTTCCTGATATCTTGTGGCAGAAATAGGGGGTAAAAAGATGCATTAATCATAACCCTGAAAGGGATTAAGTTAAGTACAGCCTATATAATACCGATTCACTTAGTGCAGGAAAATATACAATACCATTGCCCTGTAACTACTCAGATGTACATCATCTATTAATTAAATCAAGTGCTTAATTGTCCTATAAGTAAATTCGTTTCTCTCTCTCTCTCTCTCTCTCTCATATGTATATTAAATGTGAGTAGTTTGATACAATCCTTAGATGAGGATCTGTTTATCAACCATTACATCAGATATGAACTGTTGACATGTGTCAAGGATGAGATGCATCATAGTACAATTCAGTCGCCCTTGTCCATATATGATCTAGTGGCTGATAAACGTGTCCTTATTTTATGAATTTATTAGAAATAATTATGTTAAATGTAATAATGCACTCATATGTGCACATCCACATTTCAAACAAACTCTAAAATGATCTGAATGCTGGAATGATTAATGAATGTATGTTTTCAGGATATATTAGAAAAAATTCAACCTCTCAACCCTCGGGCTTTAATCATTGATTCGATTCAAACAGTTTATTTAAAAGGAGTTGCTGGAAGTGCTGGAGCGATCCAACAGGTTAGAATTTTTATAATAATATGCCAACCATACGATAAAGCTTATTCATATCTGATTTACATTGTTTGAAGAAAACTATGTGGTGAATAATTTGTTTCTTGGCACCCTTTGTAGATATTTGTTTCTGTATCGTAACAACTCCCACTTTGGTGTCAGGTTTCCTAGAGTTGCTTTTTGAGGCACTTTTATGCTGCTGTAACATAAAAAGATCCAACCCTACTGGAATAACATTATCAAAGGGCACTTAATTTACTCCTTATATCATATTATGGTTTCAGGACTGTAATTGGTGAGTTCTTACACTTTTTCTGTATCAGGTGAAGGAATGCACATCAGCCTTGCTGCGTTTTGCAAAGAAGACTAACGTCCCTGTTCTCTTGGTGAGTTACACTGTCCAAACTCCGATTGTTCATGGATTTTACTTTCAATTTATAAGTTCAGAACTCATATAATGGATATGGTCAGGAACTTCCCTTTTCTAGTATTTTATATGGGTCTGTAAAAGAGAATAGAATGTTTTGATTTTTATTGAAACTTATGTAATATTATGACCTTCTATTCTTACTCTTTTCTTTGTGTGTGTATCCAGATTGGGCACGTAACAAAATCTGGAGATATTGCTGGACCTCGTGTCTTGGAGCATATTGTTGATGTTGTACTATATATGGAAGTTGGTACCTTCTTACATTGTTTTGACTGGTTTGTTCGTAATTTGTAATGTGGTATCGACTAATCTATATATCTCTTCTCAGGGGGAGGAGAACTTATCCCATCGTTTACTTCGATCTGTGAAGAATCGCTATGGATCCACTGATGAGGTATGCAATGGCAGTCAGGGCTATAGCATTCTTTACCCATACATTCATTATTCCCTTGTTGGCCACATTAGTATGGACCTATTTGTATTGTTGATTTATGTTATCACTTTAAATTCTTTCATTGTTGCATTTTTTATTTTGTTTAGGTTCCTTAGGTACATCTATCTTTGCCAACTTATGTAACTTATTTTTCTAGTAAGGGTTCTTGTTTTTGTTTTACTTTTCTTTCGTTTTCCAAATTTCCCAAGCAAGAGTACTTTCCTCTTCTTTTATGACTCAAAGTTTTTATTCAAACTATTTGGCTGAAGTTAGGAGATTAGTGACTAGGAGATCAAGGGGTGATGGTGAAACATTTTGGCTCTATGTATTGTGTTTGTACCATAATTGACTAATCCTGAAACTACCAAGCACTGGTCAACGTTATACCGTCAAGGACCCAGAAGAGTTTCCCTCCAACCAGGAGGCCAATCACAGCGCAACACGTGTCAACACCAAGAGGTCAATCACAGGACGACACGTGTCAACATCAAAGGCCAATCATAGCATGACACGTGTCAATGCCAAAACAAAGCTAGAAACTCTCTTCTATAAAAGGAGATCATTCTCTCACAATAATCCCTAATGTAATTTGTACTAAATCATTCATTAGTACATTCATTAGTACTCACTAAAGGAGAGCTTGAACCTATGTACTTGTGTAAACCCTTCACAACTAATGAGAACTCCTCTACTCCGTAGACGTAGCCAATCTGGGTGAATCACGTACATCTTGTGTTTGCTTCTATCCATTTACATATTTATCCACACTAGTGATCGGAGCAATCTAGCAAATGTCACAAACTTAGCACTTTCTGTTGTACCAAAGTCTTCACTGATTTTGTGCATCAACATTTGGCGCCGTCTGTGGAAACGACACTTATTCCCACTCTCTTCAGCTTTGTCAAGCTGGTTTCCACCATTTGTACTATTTTTTGACCGGGCATCCCTCTCCAACATGGGGAGCGAAGGAAGTCACGGCACACAGAATGACATCCCTCTTGCACATAGTGCAAAGCAATGAAAGAAGGAAGGAAAGAAGCTCGCTCTTCAAGCTAAAGTCGAGGAGGTGGAGGCTCAGAACAACAAGATAGCAATAAAGAATGAAATCCTCCAAGGACAATATGAGAAGCTCTTCGAGACGTTCCACGAAACTAGGCGTACTCAAACACGTGAGCTTGTTGCCCCTATGGACATCAACCATCATCTGGGTGCCCCCCAACACGGAGGGTCACCTTCCTTCGACATGGGTATCCCTGATGAGGAGCGAGCTAATCATCAAAACATTGATCAACATGAGACTTCTCTCAACCCAGCTGCTTCGACCCGAAGCAGGAGAAGTAGAGGAAGATACCTCCTTGCAGAAGGGTTGGAAGGATCAAAAGTCGTTTATCGTGATTATCGAGACTTCCTAATGCAATGTCGAGAAAATCCCCTCCACATAAGCTCAAAGATCAATGACCCAAAGGTTTCTGAAAGACTCGGTCCCCTCCCACGACCCAGGCCAGCTGCCCATCTAAGGAAGGTATTTCGACAGACTAGCCCTAGAAGTCAGTATGGCGAGTCCAAGGAAAAATCACATGCTCTTGCTCAAACTTTCCTACTTCCGAGAGACAATAGAGACTTACGGAAGAAAATTCCAATGGTATAGGACTCCACTCAGGACCCTCTTGTCCTACAGCTCCTTGAGGAAGTAAACAAGTTGAATCACATGCTCTTGCTCAAACTTTCCTACTTCCGAGAGACAATAGAGACTTACGGAAGAAAATTCCAATGGTATAGGACTCCACTCAGGACCCTCTTGTCCTACAGCTCCTTGAGGAAGTAAACAAGTTGAAGGCTGAACGTCAGGCCGAGATACCTGACAAGAACCAACCCAGGCCTAGCCCTTTCACAAGGAGGATCCTCGACACCCCCTTCAAGCGAAGACAAAACAAAAACTTGGTTTACAACTCTATACTGGAAGGGAGGACCCGATTGAACACCTTAACCTCTTTGAGTTCACCATGGCATATCGGATGCACACCGACGAAGAGCGATGTCTTATCTTCCCTTCCACCCTCTCTGGCGGAGCTCTAAATTGGTATTGTCGTCTTCCACCCGAGACAGTAGACTCATTTGAGGAACCAAGGAAACTGTTTGTCTCTCAACATCTCTTCCAGACCGATCGCTTACATTCTGCAGATGACTTGTACACTATTCGCCAAAAGCTGGATGAGTCACTACAAGGGTATGCTTGTCGCTTCAGCCATGAGTATTCTCGCTGCGCTGAGGCAGATGACAAGACCGCCTTCAAAGCCTTTATGGCAGGCCTATGTGATTGTTTCTTCAAGTACATGATCAATACCAACACTTGGAAGACTTACTCTGAGTTAATGGCACAAGCTTACAACCACGCCTCCGTTAAAGCAATGACATACCAAGGAAACCCCCATATGGTTAACCCCTATTAACAGGTGGGAAGTGGAAGTCAAGTTCTACCCAGTGAGGAGATCTTGGCCATTCAAACACCCATTGCATTATCTCCTGCCTTATTTAGCTATTTGCTAAGTCACCAAACGTATTTGTCTCTTGGTAAGAGGAAAGATTTTTACTCTTAGCAAGCCCATTACAATAAGAGGGATAAAAGTTCGTATCAAGACAACCAGGGGTGAACGTACTGTTGACTATTATGACTATGGGGCCAAGCCTCACTCTTTCAAAGTGGAGGACTAGGTACTGAAGGAAATGCTATTATAAGAAGGCATAAACATTACAAATGTTTTGACTCTTAACTGCTTGAGATCTTTTGTCACACAAGCCATTCGGCAAATATTTAAAGAAGAGGGAATTCAGACAACTTCTTCTAAGTCTTTTGGATTCCTAGCACTGAAACACTTGGTCTACACTGACCTACCCTTATACTCCAACTCAGAGCTTCAACATGCGTACTTTGACACAAAGTATGTGATACTAAGTGTTACAACCAACATGGTTCACATATCGAAAGCATGGATCCCTTCATGCATAACAAAACATTCATAAGCATCATTCATGTCAATCAACATAAACATCATACATTCCAACACATTTATACATAAACATCATACATTCCAACACATCCATACATAAGCCAAATGTGCTTCAAAAGGGTTCAACATACTTTGTGTCATTCGACACTTGTTACAATGTGCCTCGACACTTTGCCCTTATTCTCACCAACCAAGTGATGAAATGTGAAGAAGGAACTCATCTTCATGCCACCAACCAGGCGATGAAATGTATAATCCATACTCTCCTTCATGCCACCAACCAGGTGATGAAATGTACAATCCATACTTTAATATCATTTGGCAACTTGCCACTTATGCCACCAACCAGGTGAAGAAGGAGCTCATCTTCATGCCACAAACCAGGTGATGAAATGTACAACCCGTACTCTTTTTCATGCAACCAACCAGGTGATGAAATGTACAACCCATACTCTAATATCATTTGGCAACTTGTCACTCATGCCACTAACCAGGTGAAGAAGGAACTCATCTTCATGCCACCAACCAGGTGATGAAATGTACAACCTGTACTCTTCTTCATGCCACCAACTAGGTGATGAAATGTACAACTTGTACTCTAATATCATTTAGCAACTTGCCACTCATGCCACTAACCAGATGAAGAAAGAATTCATCTTCGTGCCACCAACCTGATGAAATGTGATGAAAGGTGATGAAGGAACTCACCTTCGTACCACCAACCAAGTGATGAAAGCAACTCACCATTCATTCCACCAACAAGAAGACGAGTGGTACAACTTGTATTTGTGAACTCCTAGCATTCACAAATAATAAAAAACCCTCAAGCTTTACAACTCAACTAGGGAAGCATTTATGCCTAATAAGAGTTATAGTCACCAACAAAATCTTATTGCAAGCCAACAACGGCTTCAGTGCATGGTATACGAAGATCAAGCTCTTCAGCCCTCTTGCATCTGCTTTAGACATTTCTTCTCTGTAACAATGCAAACACTACAACTCGTAGAAAGCTTCACACTCTTAATCAAGACTGTTCGAAGCAAATTCAATTTATATGATTCATCCAAACCTTCGACTACTACAAGGTGTAGCTTGCATCATAATCTCTTGCTCAACAGTGTGGAAGCAAAATTTGTATACGTTGTCTCTCCCACATTTTCAATTTTCTAGTTTTCCCAAAAAAAAAAAAAATTTGAAATTCAACAAAACTTCATCAATGGAGGACAACTACAAATTCTCAAAAGTTTCACACTTTTGACCAAGATAGTGTGAAGCAAAACCAATTTATGGTGTAAATCAAAAGCTTAATCAATGGAGGGCAACTAAAATTCTCAAAAGCTTCACTCTTGATCAAGACAGTGTGAAGCAAAACCAATTCATGGTGCCAACAAGAGCTTCATTAAAGGAGTTCAACCACAATTCTCAAAAGCTTCACACTCTTGATTAAGACAGTGTGAAGCAAAACCAATTTATGGTGCCAACAAAAGCTTCATCAATTGAGGGCAACTACAATTCTCAAAAGCTTCACACTCTTAATCAAGACAGTGTGAAACAAAACCAATTTATAGTGTCAACAAAAGCTTCAACACCAAAGCTTCACCTATAAAACTTCAACATAAAAGCTTCACCTACAAAGCTTCAACTCCAAAGCTTCACCTACAAAAGTTTCAACTTCAAAAGTTCATCAACAAAGTTTCAACACAAAAGCTTCACCTACAAAGCTTCAACTCCAAAGCTTCACCTACAAAAGTTTCAACTCCAAAGCTTCACCTACAAAGCTTCAACACAAAAGCATCACCTACAAAGCTTCAACTACAAATGCCAAAAGCTTCACACACTCTTGATCAAGATAGTGTGAAGCAAAATCAATTCATGGTACCCAACAAAGCTTCAACCTCAAGGCTTCACCTACAAAGCTTCAACTCCAAAGTTTCACCTACAAAAGCTTCAACTCGAAAGCTTCACCTACAAAACTTCAACATAAAAGCTTTACCTACAAAGTTTCAACACAAAAGCTTCACCTACAAAGCTTCAACTCCAAAGCTTCACCTACAAAAGTTTCAACTCCAAAGCTTCACATACAAAGCTTCAACACAAAAGCTTCACCTACAAAGTTTCAACACCAAAAAGCTTCAACTACATATGCCAAAAGGTTCACTCTCTGAACGTACTTCTTGCACACAATTGGTGCCCCTATAAAAGAAAGGGCAACAGGGTCATTGGTTCAAAAATCGAAGAGGCACCACTCTTCGGACTTCGAGAAATGGATTTTCCTGAGTAAAATCTGTCGACAATCTCCACACGCAACATCAGCTCCTCAGGTACCATAGATAACTTTGCCAAAGATCTCTGACAAAATTTAGACACAAAAATCTTGAAGGTCTAGCTACCCTAGTATTACCTACAAGGGTAAAGGAACAGCACCACTGCTTCATAACTCGAAAGTTCTTATGTGTGTCAACCTTCGTGCTCTGTGGCAAGGCAGACTGGCAAAAATGCCCAACCTTTACTCACATTTGAGAAAACTCCCAACATGATTGCTTGCTCAAAAATTGAAGAGGCACTGCTCTCCGAATCTCGAGAGCCAGATTCCTAATAGGTTTACTTTCTCAAAAATTGAAGAGGCACCGCTCTTCGAATCTCGAAAGCCAGACTCCTAACAAGATTGCTTTCTCAAAAATCGAAGAGGCACTGTTCTCTGAATCTCAAAAGCCAGATCCCCAACATGATTGCTTGTTCAAAAACCAAAGAGGCACTGCTCTCCGAACTTCGAGAGCCAAATAATCTGGAGGAAACCAAAAAACCCTCCAGCCCAGTTCAAGAATAAGCCTGTAGAAAGTTATTTCTTCAAAAGCAAAAGTATCTCATATCATCTCTTCTCCATGTCCTTTTCTTTTTCCTTGATGATGTCTACAGAACAAGGAGAAGGAGAACAATCAGCTAGAACACAAGATCAAACTTTCGATCTGCGACTGACTGCTTGGAACTCTGATTGCTTACTTTGTTTGTCACCTCTTTCGGTCGACCTCCTCACTCAGAGACTTAGGGGACTCCTACTATAGGGTTTGTATCGCACTTGACCAAGTTCGAAACTACAAGTAAACTTCAAGTGAAATTGATACATTACCTTGTGCATCCCCATCGGTTAAAGATACTACCCCTAGATGGAGGAAAAGTACTTCCAGAGAAGATGCTACATCTACCTATGAGACAGACAAAGCAAGTGAAAATGATACCACACTTTGGTACTTAGAAGTTTCGTAATTACTCAGTGGTTTGGAGCTTCCCTCACTCGGGAACTTACAGGAGCATTGTTTGTACCATACTTGACCAATCCCGAAACTACCAACCACCGGTCAATGTTATACCGTCAAGGACCCAGAAGAGTTCCCCCCCAACCAGGAGGCCAATCACAGCGCAACACGTGTCAACACCAAGAGGCCAATCACCGCATGACACGTGTCAACATCAAAGGCCAATCACAGCATGACACGTGTCAAGGCCAGAACAAAGCTAGAAACTCTTCTATAAAAGGAGATCATTCTCCCACAATAATCCCTAATGTCATTTGTACTAAATCATTCATTAGTACTCACTAAAAGAGAGCTTGGACCTTTGTACTTGTGTAAACCCTTCACAACTAATGAGAACTCCTCTACTCCGTGGACGTAGCCAATCTGGGTGAACCACGTACATCTTGTGTTTGCTTCATGTCTCTATCCATTTACATACTTATCCACACTAGTGACCGGAGCAATCTAGCGAAGGTCACAAACTTAACACTTTTTGTTGTACCAAAGTCTTCACTGATTTTGTGCATCAACATATTGTGTACTATTCTATTTTTGTAGCAACTCTTCCTTTGAGGTGACTGATGTCTTTTTCTCTTAATTGCAAAATAATATGTTTTTGATTTTTTAACACTATTGAGAGAAGGAAATATACTGTTCAGGGTCATTGTTCCTTTATCGTTGCAGATTTTGTTCTGGTTCTGAATCTTCTGAATGCTGAAGAGCTTAAGTAGGGACAAAAATTGTCAATTAATTTTCAACTAGATAACCTATGTAATTAGAATTGTGTGTGGGTGCGTGTGGCTTCTAGGTATATAAATGTTTAGAGAATCACCTCTTAGTCTCTGTCTTATTGATTGGATTTTTTTCCTTGCTCTCAGCTTGGAGTATTTGAAATGACACAATCAGGACTGCAAGCTCTTTCAAACCCCAGTGAGATGTTTCTATCTGAGAAATACTCAGATTCACCTTGTTTAGCTGGTTTAGCTGTTGCTGTAATAATGGATGGATCTCGAACGTTTCTCATTGAGATTCAGGTTATTCTCCACTGCTTTTATACTTGTTATCTTTCCGTTTGAGTTATTTTAACTTTTTAATGCTTTGTCCTTTTATTGACTACATTAAATCAGTAAATTTTTCATGTCCATCATACAAATGTTTTGAATGAACTTGATGATAATCACGATAGTATACTTATATATGGTTTGTTGCTTGGAGCCAGGGGTAGTAGTTGATGCTTTTTTCATTGAACTTATCATATAACCTGAAACCAGTTGGCAACAGTTGGAAACGCTCTATGATTCTTAAACTCGGATTCAAGGCTTAGAATGTCTAACTTGGGATTTTATATTCTTAATATGTTCTTCACTGGTGGCTTGATTGAGCAAACACATGGAGAGCCTCGCACATGGAACATAAGTGACCAACGATGAATGACACATGGATGTTTTGCCCACTCTGTGTTAAAGTTGGACCATCCACCCTAAATCCATTGGCAATGTGTAGAGCCTCACTATTCTTATACTAAGATGCAAGACTTACAATGCTTGATGTCAAATGTTTATTCTCAACGTTCTTCTACTGCCATCATTATATCCTATTTAGCCAACTACTCTACTCAATCAAGAGTGTTCCTCAGCATTTTCTAGAGGCAGTGGGATAGTTTAGATATAGTGTATATATACACTAAGTAATCGGGTTGGACCCATATCTCAGCTTTTCCTGGTATTCGACCAAGTAACTAGATGTCTATTAGCAGCATATTTCCAAAAATAAATTATGACATCTAACTAACTTTCATAAGTTATTGTAGGCATTGTGTGTATCTGAGTCAACAGTTTTACGGCAAGTTAATGGGGTTTCAGCAAGTAGAGCTGACATGATTAAATCTGTGAGTACCTTTTACTTTTAATTTTTGTGTATTTTTTGGATTTATATTTATACCATATACATAAATACACAATAAGCATCAGTGGTGCGATTCACAATATATTATCTTCGGTTAAAAGCAATTAGCAATATCATTTGCTATTTTTCATGGAATGGACATTATTAATAGAGTAGTAACTGGTGTTTATACGCCACATATTCATATGCTTTGAGACTCATGATAGCATTACCAAGATTGCTTACTATTTTTATTATGACATTCTTTTGATGAAGACAATGTGCTAAGGCTCATGTTAGTCAATACAGTATTAAAATTGAATTTGAGATTACAGTTAACGGTTTACTCCAATCTCAATACAGTTTCAATATATTTAGAGTTTGAGTTGGCAAAAAATAGAAAAAAATATGAGTTATTGCATCATTCATTTACGCTAAACTCATGATGAAAGTCAGTCGTCATTGATCTCTTGCACATTTTAGGTACTAACGAAGCAAGCTGGTCTAAAGCTCCAGGAGAATGTAAGTAAAAACTTTGTGATAATTCTTTCATTTATAGATTGATTTCTTATCCTTGACTTCAATAATCTCTGAAGTTCCAATCCATGTTTGAACTATTTATACAAGATGAAAAGATTGAGAACATTTACAACCATATGGCAACTAGTAAAGAATATAAACCTAACATCTCATGCTGATAGGAACTAATGTCAAATATGACACATGAAGTTTTTATAAACTTGCACAGACAGAAAACCTTTGCTTCGAGTTGAATCATAGGAGGCTATTTGCCGGTCTTTGTTCTATCTACGTGTTTAATGAATTTTTAGGATACCAAGTAAATATAAATTCTTTAGTTTAATTTAACGAATACTAGACTTTCTTATTTATTGTTGGTTAGTTTCTCTTCGATTATTGTCGTGTTACTGAATAAAGTTGCTTTCATGTTAGGCCATCTTCTTAAATGTTGTCAGTGGGGTGACGCTGAAAGAAACTGCTGGAGATCTTGCAATAGCAGTAGCAATTTGCAGCAGGCATGCGTACTTGCCCTTTCTACTAATCAAATCTTGTTTCTTTAACTAAGATGCCATTTACCATTTTGTTTATGCCCTTATAATTTTTTTTTACTTTTGTCATTTAGTATGGTAATTTATTTTCAGCTTAAATGTCAAAATGGTCTGTCTGTTATACCATATGGCCAATTTAGTCTTCGTGTTTGTCTCTGTTAGCCAATTAAGAACATTTCATTTAATCTCTTTTAAAAAATTCGTAAAAAAAATCATATGAGAAATAATTACCCTTTCTCTTTACAGGAGAATACAAATCAATGAGAAATAACATGTATAAGAAATAAAACTTCCAATCTAAAAAATGATTGAGGTTGTGAAATAGAAAAGAGAGGGGGTAATGTTAGGGGGGGGCGTCAGAGAGTTGGGAGGAGAATACTTTTTCTTTTAATTTTTAATTTTATTTCATTGTAAATATTTTAAATCAAATAAGTTATAATTTTATAGTAAGTTTATAATAATTTTTTTTTTTTTTTTTTTTTTTACAGAAATTAGATGGAAATTTCTTTAATTGGCTAATGGAGATAAACACAAAGACGAAATTGGCCAAATTGAAAACATATGGACTAAATTGACCCAATGACTAAAACACAAGGACCATTTTAACATTTAAGCCTATCTTTTCATGCTTCAGTGTTTTATCTGCATTATGTGCGGTTATATCAGGACGAGAAAAGAAGAAATAAATAACTGTTTTTCGTATCTCATGTAGAACCTAATTCTTCTCAATGTTTCTCAAACCACATTTGTTTCTTTTCCTCATTGTCTTCAGTTTCTTGGAGTTCCCTATTCCCAATAGTATTGCATTCATTGGTGAAATTGGACTTGCTGGCGAGCTTCGGCCGGTAAGCAAATTATTTCAGCATTCCCTAGTATTAGGATACTGTCAGCAGATTTTACTACTGGGCATTAGTGGTGTTGTTTTTCAGTTGAAATATGAGAAGCTTGGCTTTGTATTTAGGATATGTTGGGCACTTACGTATGATTAGTTATTTCTGTTAGCTTGATTTGAAGTTGACATAATACTAATAAGACCTAATCTTAGCGCTTGCTTGGCTATTCGAACTCAAGATTGTTGAAATTGTTCAGTGGTTGGCCATTCGATCCCCAATCCCCCTTTCCTTTGTTTTCTTTCAAGCATTATATCATTGATGGCAGTTAATTGTATCATGTTAGGTCACTCGAATGGATAAAAGGATACACACAGTGGCGAAACTGGGCTACAAGATGTGTATCGTTCCAAAATCATCCGAGACATATCAAGGAACTCCAGGTTTAGAGGACATTGAAATTATTGGCTGCAAGGATCTGAAGGAGGTCATCAGCAATGTGTTCAAATGATGCTGATATGGAGCCAACGGTTTCAACTTCGTGCATATTAAATTGTATGTAATTTTGTATTATCTATCGTCGAAATTGCTCTTCCTACCAAAGGCTTGCTGACTGCCTTGCTCCTTGGTTTCTAATTTCTTTGAGAAATGATTTGTTAACGATCGATAAGAACCGATATATTTGTATTGACACTTCTAGTTTACAATGGATGTAGCTTCGTTTTACTTGCTTGGGCTGAAAATGGATTAAGGTTAGTTGGCTTTTAGCCCAAAACATGACTGATTTGATTGAGTCCTTGTGAAAGTGGGACTGTGACAGGATTAAGTTTAGATGTGCTCGGTCGAGTCGTCACTAAATTGAAAATGTCAAGAATCAGAATGAGCTTTGTTTAGAAGCGAATCATTCTAAGGATCAAAATATATTCTTGATTAAGATAAGGATGATTTAAGTGAATAGAGTGACTAGATTTAAAGTCCTGGTTCAAATAAAAAAAGTCGAGATTGGATAAAGATGAGTTTCAGCTAAGAATGGGATTAAAGAAAAAAAGAGATAATATTCAGGTAAATGCTGAAGTGACACAATCCTATTAGGACTACCCTCAGTAAGCTTGATTATCACAACGTTAATCCCTATAAATAGAAGAGGCTCTGCAACATGAAAATGTCCTTCAACTTAACAAATGACTCAAAAGTGCTTTACGTGAAAACCCTCACTCCATGCAAAATCCTTCTCACACCGTTGAGAAAAATACTATCCTAACCCCCCTCAGACAACACACCTTTAGTTTGATAAGTAAACAACACTGTATTGACAACTAGCGACATTTTCAATTTGGATAAGTCAACAAAATCGGAGACATTTTCAATTTGGATAAGTCAACAGAATCGGAGTTGTAGAACCATTCAATTCAGCATCACCTTCAATTTGGACAAGTAAACAACACTGATTTTGGTTAGTTGGTTATCTATCCAAGCCCGGATAAAGGAGGAGGGGGAGGGCGTCAGGTAGTCGACAGCCGGCACTCCATGATCACGTCGAATCCTTATGAAAATGAATCCAGAACAAAATCGCGCTAAAGCTAGGGCGTCACCCGTAAGTGGCGCGCTGTGTGGCCTGAGCACAGTGATAAGTGAGCAAGGGTCGCTGCATCTCCATCGGCACCCGGATGCAGTGTTAAATGAGCAAGGGGGCCATAGAAACTTCTTTTCGAACGACTCCACTCAAAGTTGTTTGGGAGCATATGCTCCTATCAACTTTACCCGGGACACACAAAAGAAGTACTTTGATCCTATTAGACGGGGGAGGGTGAAGAAGCTAGGACAGAAGGGTAGAGTTCAAGAGAGCAAAATGCGTTTAGGAACGTGGAAATATAGGAACCTTAACGGGAAAATCTATGGAAGTAGTGGAAGTTATGGTGAGGAGAAGGATAAATATTATGTGCCTACAAGAAACTAAGTGGGTTGGTAGTAAGGCAAAGGATCTAGAAAACTCAGGGTTTAAACTTTGGTATTCGGGCACAAATAGAACGAGAAACGGTGTTGGCATCATCGTGGACAAGACCTTGGTACAAGATGTTGTAGATGTCAAGAGAGGTAGGAGATAGAATCATGGCAATCAAGATTGTAATAGGACAAGAACTTATCAATGTGATTAGTGCGTACGCACCTCAAGTAGGGTTGGATACGAGTTCGAAGGAGAAATTTTGGGAAGATCTTGGAGACTTGGTGCAAGGAATTGCTCAGACGGAGAAGTTATTTATAGGAGGAGATTTAAATGGACACGTGGGCAGGGAGACAGGCAACTATGGAGGTTTTCATGGTGGCCATGGTTTTGGGGAGAGAAACGAGGATGGGGAAGCTATCTTGGATTTTGCAATGGCATATGATCTCTTCTTAGCCAACACCTTCTTTAAGAAGAGAGAAGAACATGTGATCACCTACAAGAGTGGGTCGTCAAAAACACAAATAGATTTTCTTCTAATGAGGAAAGGGGATCGTATAACTTGTAAGGATTGCAAAGTTATACCAGGAGAGAGCGTGGCTAATCAACATCGCTTGTTGGTGATGGATGTACATATCAAAAGAGTAAGACAAAAGAACAAGACTTGGAAGTGCCCAAGGACTAGATGGTGGAATCTAAAAGAAGAAAAACAAGTCATTTTCAAAGAGAATGTAATCACCCAATGTGTGTGGGATAGAGAGGGGGAAACTAGCCAAATGTGGGATTCCATGGCTAGTTGTATCCGAAAAGTAGCAAAAGAGGTATTAGGAGAGTCCAAGGGCTTTGCCCCACACCAAAAGGAATCCTGGTGGTGGAATGAGGAGGTACAAACAAAGGTGAAAGCTAAGAAGGAATGTTGTAAAGCCTTATACAAGGAGAGGACCGATGAAAATGGTGAAAAGTATAGAAAAGCGAAGCAAGAGGCGAAAAAAGCTGTCAGAGAAGCTAAGTTAGCGGCTTACGACGACGATATGTATAAACGACTAGATACCAAAGAAGGAGAGTTGGATATCTATAAACTATCTAGAGCAAGGGAAAAGAAGACAAGGGACCTAAACCAAGTGAGGTGCATCAAGGATGAGGATGGAAAGGTTCTTGCTACAGAGAACGCGGTTAAAGACAGATGGAGAGGTTATTTTCATAATCTTTTCAATGAAGGACATGAAATGAGTGATTCTTTAGGGGAGTTGAGTAACTCAGAAGAGTGTAGAAACTACTCTTTTTATCGTCGAATCCGGAAGGAAGAAGTGGTTGTAGCTTTGAAGAAGATGAAGCATAAAAAAGCAATAGGCCCAGACAATATACCAATCGAAGTGTGGAAACTTTTGGGAGAGACAGGTATAACATGGCTCACTGACCTTTTCAATAGGATTTTGAAAACGAAGAAGATGCCAAATGAGTGGCGAACGAGCACTTTGGTGCCTATCTACAAGAACAAGGGCGACGTACAAAATTGCATGAACTATAGGGGTATTAAGCTAATGAGTCATACAATGAAGCTCTGGGAGAGAGTCATTGAGCATAGATTGAGGCAAGAGACACGGGTTTCGGACAACCAATTCGGGTTCATGCCAGGGCGCTCAACCATGGAGGCAATCTATCTCTTACGAAGATTGATGGAAAGATATAGAGATGGGAAAAAGGATTTACACATGGTCTTTATAGATTTGGAAAAAGCGTATGATAGGGTCCCAAGAGACATTCTTTGGAGGATTTTAGAGAAGAAAGGAGTACGAGTAGCATATATCCAAGCTATAAAGGATATGTATGAAGGAGCAAAGACTGCCGTAAGAACTCATGAAGGACAAACCGAAAGCTTCCCCATAACTGTAGGATTACATCAAGGCTCATCCTTAAGTCCTTACCTTTTTGCGTTGGTAATGGATGAGTTAACAGGACATATTCAAGATGATATTCCTTGGTGTATGCTTTTCGCAGACGATATAGTGTTGATAGATGAAACTCAGGAAGGGGTAAATGCAAAGCTTAACCTTTGGAGAGAAGTGTTGGAATCTAAAGGTCTTCGCCTAAGCCGATCAAAGACAGAATATATGGAGTGCAAGTTCAGTGCAAATGGAGGCCAAAACGAGTTAGGGGTGAGGATCGGAGATCAAGAAATACCAAAAAGCGACCGTTTTCGTTACCTAGGATCTATCTTGCAAAAGAACGGAGAATTAGATGGAGATCTCAACCATAGAATACAAGCTGGATGGATGAAGTGGAAGAGTGCATCCGGTGTGTTGTGTGTGACCGCCGTATGCCATTGAAGCTCAAGGGAAAATTTTATAGGACGGCAATAAGGCCGGCGATGCTGTATGGCACAGAATGTTGGGCGGTGAAACATCAACACGTACACAAAATGGGTGTAGCGGAGATGAGGATGCTTCGTTGGATGTGTGGGCACACGAGAAAGGATAAGATTAGGAATGAGGATATCCGGGGTAAAGTAGGAGTAGCCGAAATTGAAGGAAAGATGAGAGAAAATCGGTTACGGTGGTTTGGACATGTGCAAAGAAGGCCTACTGACGCTCCGATTAGAAGATGCGACTATGGGACAGAGGTTCAAGGCCGAAGGGGTAGAGGAAGACCTAGGAAAACTTTGGAAGAGACTCTAAGAAAAGACTTAGAGTACTTGGATCTAACGGAGGACATGACACAGGATCGAGCACAATGGCGTTCTAGAGATTCATATAGCCGATCCCACTCAGTGACTTGGATTTTCCAAGTCTCCAATCGAGAAGTTTTTCCTCACTCGGGAAATTAAGGGAACACTACCCCAACCTACATGCTCCACTCAGAAAGCTTCAACATACAAGCTTCAACAAAAGAAAATTCAAAGAACTTAGCGAAGAAGGCTTTGGTGTATTTAACACAATACGTTGAAATGAAGGAAAACTTATTTATTGATATCCCCGATCAGCTACAAATATGTACATATACATGAGCCAAAATAAACACACAAGACGGAGCCTTCACAAAGGTTGCTTAGGAGAAGTCTCAGCAGTCGGTAGAGCCCCAGAAAGAGAAGGCACCGGAGGGGGATCATTTGGAGCCTCAGTACTGGACAGAACCCTAGAAGGAGGAGGCATCAGAGGTTGATCATTCGGAGCTTCATTACGCGGTACAGCCCCAGAAGACGAAGGCAATAAATGCCTTTGGAACAAACCCACAAATCTCTGATGATCAAGTAAAACCTGACCATCAGTTTCCTTCATCTGGTCAAGCTTCCTCTTCATGTTTGTAGCATAGTCATGTGCGAGCCGGTGCAACTGTTTATTCTCATGCTTGAGCCCTCTAATCTCCTGTTTGAGACTCATCACTTCAGCCGCCAAGGATTCAACTTGGCGGGTTCGAGCAAATAGGCGTTGGGCCATATTAGACACAGAACCTGCACACTGAATACTGAGAGCCAGCGAATCCTTAACAGCTAACTCATCAGACCGTTTGGAAAGTAGTCTGTTATCTTTGGGAGTGAGAAGGTTCCTGGCCACCACCGCAGCGGTCATATCATTCTTCATCACGGAATCCCCAACGGTAAGAGGACCAGTAGGGGAGACGAAGGATGGGCGCCATATGTTGTCTGGAGAAGGCGGGGCTGCCTCTTCAACAAGGTTCAAGTCAAAACGACGGTCGGAGGGGCCAGACATTTTCAAAGGTGTGAAGAGAGAAGAGGTCGGACAAATCAAGATCTTAGAAGTGCAAGAATGAAGCTTCTACTGGTGGAGATTCAAGTGTGCTTTGGAACTTAATGTCAGCCTCTATAAAAATCTGCACTCGACGGAGCTTCGGAAATCGAAGAGGCGCCTGCTCAGAAATCGAAGAGGCGTTTGCTTTCTCAAAAGCTGGGCTGCTTAGAGATCACGAGGGTTGATCTCAGAAATCGAAGAGGCGTTTGCTTTCTCAAAAGTTGGGCTGCTCAAAGACCACGAAGGCCGATCTCAGAAATCGAAGAGGCGCTCGCTTTCTCAAAAGCTGGGCTCCCCAGAGACCACGAGGGCCGATCTCAGAAATCGAAGAGGCACCTACTTTTCCAGCCTTGTCAGCACCCGTCACAAGCACACTCAGCTTTGCAGAAATTATGGGCATTCTGTCGAAGACTTCTGGGGAAGTAGAAAACACATGAATCTTACTGTTCAATCACCCACTTCCCACACGCAACAATAACTCATGGGTACCACAGATAACTTTGCCAAAGTTCTCTGCCAAAGTTGAGCACGTGAAGCTTGCAGCTCCCACTACATCGCTCTGACCAAGAAGGGTAAAAAGAATAGCAAAGAAACAGCACTAACAAAGTTTAGACCCATAAATTTTGAAGGTCTAGCTACCATATTATTACCCACAAGGGTAAAGGAACAGTACCACTGCTGGATAATTGGAAAGTCCCTGTGTGTCAACCTCTGTGCTTCGTGGCAAGGTAGACTAGCAAACATGCCCAACCTTTACTCACATTCGAGAAAACACTCCCAATAAGATTGCTTGCTCCAAAATCGAAGAGGCACCGTCCTCCGAATCTCGAGAGCCAGACTCCCAACATGACTACTTTCTTAAAAATCGAAGAGAGGGTAAAGGAACAGTACCATTGCTGGATAATTGGAAAGTCCCTGTGTGTCAACATCTGTGCTTCGTGGCAAGGTAGACTAGCAAACATGCCCAACCTTTACTCACATTCGAGAAAACACTCCCAACAAGATTGCTTGCTCCAAAATCGAAGAGGCACCGCCCTCCGAATCTCGAGAGCCAGACTCCCAACGTGATTACTTTCTCAAAAATCGAAGAGACACTGCTCCCCGAATCTTCGAGAGCCAGACCCCCAGCATGATTGCTTTCTCAAAAATCGATGAGGCATCGTTCTCCGAATCAATCGAAGAAGCGCTCGCTTTCTCAAAAGCTGGGCTGCTCAGAGACCACGAGGGCCGATCTCAGAAATCGAAGAGGCACCTACTTTTCTAGCCTTGTCAGCACCTGTCACACGCACACTCAGCTTTGCAGAAATTATGGGCATTCTGTCGAAGACTTCTGGTGAAGTAGAAAACACATGAATCTTACTGTTCAATCACCCACTTCCCACACGCAACAATAGCTCATGGGTACCACAGATAACTTTGCCAAAGTTCTCTGCCAAAGTTGAGCACGTGAAGCTTGCAGCTCCCACTACATCGCTCTGACCAAGAAAGGTAAAAGAATAGCAAAGAAACAGCACTAACAAAGTTTAGACACATAAATTTTGAAGGTCTAGCTACCATATTATTACCCACAAGGGTAAAGGAACAGTACCACTGCTGGATAATTGGAAAGTCCCTGTGTGTCAACCTCTGTGCTTCGTGGCAAGGTAGACTAGCAAACATGCCCAACCTTTACTCACTTTCGAGAAAACACTCCCAACAAGATTGCTTGCTCCAAAATCGAAGAGGCACCGTCCTCCGAATCTCGAGAGCCAGACTCCCAACATGACTACTTTCTCAAAAGCGAAGAGAGGGTAAAGGAACAGTACCATTGCTGGATAATCGGAAAGTCTCTGTGTGTCAACCTTTGTGCTTCGTGGCAAGGTAGACTAGCAAACATGCCCAACCTTTACTCACATTCGAGACAACACTCCCAACAGGATTGCTTGCTCCAAAATCGAAGAGGCACTGCCCTCCGAATCTCGAGAGCCAGACTCCCAACATGATTACTTCCTCAAAAATCGAAGAGACACTGCTCTACGAATCTCGAGAGCCAGACCCCCAGCATGATTGCTTTCTCAAAAATCGAAGAGGCATCGTTCTCCGAATCTCGAGAGTCAGATACCACAGACCACTTTTTCAAAGTGCTCTGACAGAGTTAAAACATGTGAAACTGGCAGCTCCCACTACCGTGCTATGACCAAGCAGGGTAAAGGAATAGCATTACTACTTGTTGTTAGGGAGACTCCTATATATGTCGACCTCCATCCCCAACGGACAGGCAGACCTGCAAAAATGCTCAACCCTTCATCATATCTGAGAGGGCACTCCCAACGAAGCCTTTCGAAATATTCAGCTTTCTTTCCCCCCGATAATACCTCTGCAAACAAGCTATACTAGAGCAAGAATATCTCATATCATCAGGGTTAAAAGCAAGAGTATCCCATATCATGCTTTTTCCCTGTCTTTTCCTTTGGCCTTGTTTTTACCTACAAGACAAGGAGAAAGAGAGCAATCAGTCAGCACTTGGATCAAGCTTCCAGCCAGGAACTGACTGTCTGGAACCCCTTACCTGATTACTTACCTGGCATTGCTCTCGAATACTCATCTTCAACATCTTATGTTTCCAGGGAAGATTCCGCATCTGCTTGAGGAACAGATAGGGCAAGTGCGAAGGATACAAGGAAGCATGTGGAGACAAGCGTAACAGCACACGTGCCGATACACCCATTACTCTGTCAAAAGCAAAAGTATCTCATATCAGCAGGGTGGAACGTACTCTAGATTTGATGGACTTGTTTTGACCCTCAAATTCTTCAGTCGGCCTTATACTCTGGAGGAAACCAGAAAACCCTCCAGCTCAGTTCAAGAATAAGCCTGTGGAAAGTTACTTCTCTTCAAAAGCAAAAGTATCTCATATCATCTCTTCTCATTTTTCTTCTCTTTATCCTTCATGCTGCTGCAAGATGGGGAGAAGGTGAACAATCAGTCGGAGCTCTGATTGCTTACCTTGTCTGTCACCTCTTTCAGCAGACCCCCTAGCTCGGCGACTTGGGGGACTCCTACTACATGGTTTGTATCGCGCTTGACCAAGCCTGAGACTACAAGTAAGCTTCAAGTGAAATTGATACATTACCTTGTGCATCTCCACCAGTTAAAGATACCACCCCTGGATGGAGGAAGAGTACTTCCAGAGAAGATGCCACATCTACCTATGAGACAGATAAGGCAAGTCAAGACGACACCACACTCCGATACTTAGAAGTTTCGTGATTACGAGATCATTCTCCCACAATATTTCCTAATGTCATTTGTACTAAATCATTCACTTGTACTCACTAAAGGAGAGCTTGAACCTATGTACTTGGGTAAACCCTTCACAATTAATGAGAACTCTTCTATTCCGTGGACGTAGCCAATCTGGGTGAACCACGTACATCTTGTGTTTGCTTTCCTATCTCTATCCATTTATATACTTATCCACACTAATGAACGGAGCAATCTAGCGAAGATCACAAAAAGCGACCGTTTTCGCTACCTAGGATCTATCTTGCAAGAGAACGGAGAATTAGATGGAGATCTCAACCATAGAATACGAGCTGGATGGATGAAGTGTAAGAGTGCATCCGGCGTGTTGTGTGACCGTCGTAGGCCACTGAAGCTCAAGGGAAAATTTTATAGGACGGCAATAAGGCCAGCGATGTTGTATGGCACAGAATGTTGGGCGGTGAAGCATCAACACGTACACAAAATGGGTGTAGCGGAGATGAGGATGCTTCGTGGGATGTGTGGGCACACGAGAAAGGATAAGATTGGGAATGAGGATATCCGAGGTAAAGTAGGAGTAGCCGAAATTGTAGGAAAGATGAGAGAAAATCGGCTCCGATGATTTGGACATGTGCAAAGAAGGCCGACTGACGCTCCGGTTCGAAGATGTGACTACGGGACAGAGGTTCAGGGCCAAAGGGGTAGAGGAAGACCTAAGAAAACTTTGGAAGAGACTCTAAGAAAATACTTAGAGTACTGGGATCTAACGGAGGACATGACACAAAACCGAGCGCAATGGCGTTCTAGGATTCATATAGCCGACCCCACTTAGTGGGAAAAGGCTTTGTTGTTGTTGTTGTTGTTGGTTATCTATCCAAGTCTCGACGAACGAATTCCAATTCTTTAGTCTAAAAAGGTCACTTTATTAGCTTCCCAACGAAAGTACGGTGTTACCACGTTACTTCGTGTTTGGCACATTGAAAATCAAACCATTTATTGGACTTCACGGTGATTAAGCAACCTTATCCAAGATTGAAACAAGTTCATTCCTCGACTGTAATTGCTTGCAAAAGTTGGCATAGCATTTGACACCACCATCACAACGTCTATTCTACTCATCCGATCGAGCTCGATCACCAGTTGGCACGCCCGCATTCACAGAACGTAGTTAGCTCAGTTACTCAGCTTTCACGCCACATAGTTGAAGTTAAGGGTGGGCCAAATCCCCTAATTTTAATAAATCTTTCTGAAAAGAGAATGGAATGCTTAGTTGGAAAAAGAGTAGAAAGGAATCATATCTGCCCACAACTCATAAGTTCTCATTTTGTTTCATATATACAATGACTCCTTAATTCTTATAAAGATATCGATAATAAAACCCGAAACACTTATAAATAAATACATCACACATATCTGCCCACAACTCATAAGTTCTCATTTTGTTTCATATATACAATGACTCCTTAATTCTTATAAAGATATCGTTAGTAAAACCCGAAACACTTCTAAATAAATACATCACACATAAAGACAGACAGGGAGCGAAAACGAAGAGTACCATGAACACAACGATCTTTAGAGTTTGGAAACAAGCTGCTTGTTGTACCCATTTCCTATTCCTTCGGTCTAGACGCTGAAGTCGCTTCAGTATGGTTTTCCCCAACTATCAGTTGGCCTTCGGTTTCCTCTTTTGTTTCCTCTTTCTTCTTTGCTTCGACCTCTTTGAGGTCCCAGAAGCTTGGCTGATTGGTTGATGACAATAACCGTGCCCACATTCTGTCAGTGATCACAACCTTGTTCAGCCTCTCGGTCACCCTCTGTGCATGAAAGAACAATCAACTTGAGCATACGACTAAATCACAATGACAATTTATGGCAGTACCCAAAAAGAGAAGGTAAGTTCTCGGGTACATCAAATAAATGTAAATTCCACTTTTTCTTGCATCACTTGCTTCATTTTTCCTGTCGTATTGGCCTATGAATTTTTATAGGGGAATGTAACTTGCCGAGTTTCCCCACTTCTGAATCATATGCTTCCCTTCTTTTACTGAGATAACTATTTAAACCAAGAGTAACTTATATAACTTACATGAAACGGAATGTAAGCATGCCTTCCGTTAACAGGGCCGACAGCAAATCCCGCGTATCCAGCCATCGCACCATGAATGGCACTGTGAGCAAGGAGGGTGCAATATACATTATCAGATGCATTGCTTGGAATCGCACGGATCATGTAAGTGGGATCTGCCAGAAGTGCATAACTATTGTTAGGTTATATAAGTTGTTCCGCCAGGCTCTACGATGAATATCCGTAGAATCAGACAATAAAAACCAATACTCCACAATCCCAAGAAAGTGCTTCAGTAAGACCAACCTATATATTTGAGATTTATAGTCATCTTTCTCTGCTTCGAGAAGTAATCCTACAAGAACATAATCAAAACCAATACATATGGTAAGAATGGCATCCCCAGGGTCAAGTCACTCAAAAATGTTATGAATAAATAATAGCACATGACGTCGACATCATCAAACAAGTAGGCCACATTGCTTTCGCATGTTGTATAAGACCTTGAAATTTTCAAATTTGACAAAGGATGCAAGCAAATCCTCAAAGCACCACCTTCTGGTTATACTAGACAGTCTTTATGGCTGACAAAGAAAAAGGGACTCATCAGAAACTGACAATTTATTGGCCGCTAGACAGTCTTCTTGAGTCCCCCCATTTTCTAATGGGCAGTAGTATCCAAAGGGAAAAAGGTTATTGTACATCCCAACCCCATTTCAGAATGGACATGCTTACAACAGCTAAAGTGTAAAAAACAGACGATCACACAAACGAGGGAGAGGGAACAACATTTCTATCATCAGGCATAGAAATAACGCTGGCATCTTACCTTAATATTTTGCGATAACCACAGACCAACATCTTGCAGAAGCTTATTTCCAGAAGCATCCTGCTGGTTCATTCTTTCAGAAAGAAGCTCTTGTCCTGCACCTTCGGCTATTACTATAACCATGTGACCATTCTCCTTCAGTCTTCTTTCAATGTATTCATAAAGTCCACCTGGTCCTTCCAGATAAAAAGGTGATTCTGGAATCAGACAACAGTCTACGTCTCGGCTAGCAAGAGTAGCATACATTGCTATGAATCCTGCGTGACAAGAGTATCAGAATAAGATCTACATAACAGTGACTGTTCACACAAAGTCTCGTCAATGGATTCACATAGTCACCGGAAAAGGAAATTGAAACCAATATATACATCTAGTCGATATGCAGAGGGCACAGTTAGTGCACATGGTTGCAACTAGCACAGGTTCAGGGAGAATCAATTCAATTGGAGAAATAAGAGAGCATCAAGTGATATAATATCACCACATTGGAAGCCACATTATCTTCTGTGTTTTACTCTAAAATCAAATAATTTTAAGATTATAGAGGACTGACACTTTACCACTATAGCGGCCCATTAACTTGACGAAGCCAATACCATTCTCAAAGCTTTCCGCTTCAATATGGGCTGCATTAATGGCTCGCTGAGCCTCCTCAACAGCAGTGTCGAAACCAAAAGATCTGTCTATAACCTAAATAAAAGCATGGAATCGAAAATTAAGACTGCTTCCAAGAGTGAATGGTATATTTAGATCAAATACATCAGACAAGTCATGCATGGGATAAGGGAGTACAGGGATGTCATTATCGATGGTATTTGGAATTCCTGCCACCACTACTTTGAGGCCACGCCTCCTGACTTCCTGCATGGAATAATGGCAGGTAAATAACTAAATATTGCGCTCAACTTATAATTCCATCCCATATTGTTTCCCAACACACTCAAGATTGTTGAATCTTCCAAAATCCTTGTTCCCGGGTAGCACTGGAGATCAATGCTAGTAGGGCAACATCAAACTGAATTACCTCAAAAATCACCGAAGCTCCTTTCTGTGTTCCATCTCCTCCAAGTACATAAATCTGACGTGCATAAACATTCGTAAGTCTATGCTCAAAATTTTTTTGGAGAAAGCAAAGCCAACATAAAATGAGATTTGAAAAAAAAATAGAATAACGTAAGGAATATAGACCTGATTAATTCCTCTGTCCTGGATGCTGTCCACAATCTTTGAGGTATCATGCCCGCCTCGTGATGTCCCAAGGATGGTGCCACCTCGTTTATGGATGTCATTCACAACCTTTGGCGTTAAAGGGATTGTATTTCTGGCATAAAACCCTCTGTATCCACCCTACATGGAGAACTACTTCCTAGTTCATGACATTGTTCAACCATATGATAAAAAGACTATCATGAATTGAGGGCCAAATTATCCACCAATAAGCCTAAAAGAAACCCACCGATATGCTGCAATCGAATTATAGTCTCCTATTTTTACCTCATATAGAATGAGAGGGCGGGAACAAAATGATACGGTTGTAAAACTTTTAATTCATGCACCCTTCCACATTTTATTATCATAATACGAAAACGGAGGTTGAAATGTATTTGAATACATGTCAAATATGCCTTACCTCTATTCCGAGAATTTTTTTGACACCATACATGTGGTTCAGCCCGCATACTAGTTCTCTAATAACTGTATTCAGTCCTGGACATATACCACCACATGTCACGATACACGCATGCACTTCACTTGACTCAAAATACACCTGAGAAATAACCAATTGCATGTCACTTGTCTGGAATATATAATACAAGGACAATTAATAGAGCGAAAAACTAGGAATTTATAACCTTCTGACGTGGTCCAGAGCGTCGAAAGTGCGTCCCCCTTGGACTATCCTTGTGGACAACAATCTATACAAAGAAAAGCATTATAGAACTAGAAAACCGAAATTGTAAAACGTTGAAGTTTTCGTATCACTAGGAATTTGTGTAAAATATATACTAGACGAATGAATACATTGTTAATAGACCAAGCACTGAATATTTCTCACCTTTTGGGCAACGGTATCATCCGCATTGACGAAATACTGCCTGATCAAAAGCAAGATCAATTTTGTGACTTATCAAGAACACAACAAAATGAGTCGTACCAAATGCATTTGCTCTGAATGTAAAGAGTCTAACTTACTTAACAACCGAATAGGAGGGATTGTCTTGTAATGGATTGGGATACGTCTGCAAATTGCCATAAAACATACGAAACTGCGTGTTAGATTTCGTTGCCCCTTGCAGCGAAACAATCAAGATAGGATCATCACATCGAAAACTAATTCAGATCAAGTCGCCACACCTCAAAGCACTCTTAGCAAAATACTAACGAAAAATCTGATCTTAGAAATTATAGTAACTAATGTTAAGCACAATTTTTAGAAACACACGCAAATATTCATTAAAAATCCTAGTGCTTCCAAGAAAAGCTGTTGGCCCCAAGTGCTTCCTAGAAAAGCTGTTGGAAGTGCTTCATGAAAATCCGCTTCTCCAAAAAGCATTTTTACGACCCATAAGCACTTTTAAGTTTTTCTCCGTATGTAGTCAAAAGTGCTTTTGGTCGGCAGATAAATGACTCGTAGAAATGCTTTTAACATAACTAAAACCGCTTTTAAAAAAACTGTTTTTTGGTTTTGAAAGTACCTTTAAAACTGTTTTTTCATCCGCCATCCCTTTCCTCCCATATTCTCTCTCCCTTTCTCCCTTTCACGCTGCATCAGCAGCCTCGTCGGTCCCGACCTTGACATTGGATCCCTTCCACCTAATCTTCGCAGTCCACTTGTCCTCTTTTTCTTTGTCCTGTGGACCGGCCCCGTCTGCACCCTCCCTCACCAGATCCCAGCCCTCCAGCCTCCACACCACCAGCCTCACCTCGTACTTCTTCGTCATCAGAGGCGGCCATGGTCGCCACCTTATCATCTTCACCACCATTCTTTTGAGTCAGAGCCTACCCACCGACCCACCAAAGCCAGAAAAGAAAATTTGAGGAAAGCCACCCTTAATCTGAATCAAAATATTTCTATGGGGCTGTTTGGTTCCCGGGAAAAAAAATGTTTCTTTTAATATTTAATTAATTTTTTTAAGCCACGTCACAATTTAACAAAAGTATTACAAAAAGCTGACGAAATGCATGAAATTGTAAGAAATTCATAAATAAGGTATAACATTGAAATTTTTTAAAGATAAAGTTTGAAACTACAATTAATCCAATAATTAAGGTAATTTTATGTAATTTAGTTTACTTTTAAAGTGCTTACGTTAAGTGTTTTTCTATAATTCACTTACATTAAAACACTTTCAATAATTTTAAAAATACTTCCAAAATAGCCCAAAACTTTTAACTCTTCTAGAAGCACTTCAAACATGCCCATGTAACTATATTATTGTATCAAAAATAAAAATAAATAGTCTCAGAACAATTAAAATAAAAAATCTCCAGCACCCCAGCAACAATTAAATCTCAATAAACCAAATTATATGAAAAATCAGATCAGTTAAAACTTAACAACTTAAACAAGTTCCATAAAGAACAAAAAAAACAAATCAAAGCTCGTTGTACTGGATTCACATATTCAGTCATCCCAAAACGCTGCGTTTTGGTCCGAACATGCAAAACACCAACCAGAAGAAGAAGATCGCATGTGTATTGGCAGCCACAATTATTAGATTATTATTTTCTCCAAAAAAAACCAAAGTATATATACAAGTAGCATACATAACACTGTAACACTGATAAACTAAGTAGTTTTTTTCTGATCATCCAAACAACCTTAAGAAAGAGAGAAGTAGAATATTAGGAGAGAGAAAGAGGGAGAGAGAGAGAGAGAGAGAGGGAAAGAGAGATTTACTGGGAGATCGGGGATGTAATCAACTAAGTGAGGAACATCTTCGAGGACGTAGCCGCACGGACCCGTGGCGATTTTGGGCTCGCGGTTGTCGGAAATTGCCATGTTGCCACTGGAACGGCCGTTCTCTCTGGTAGTGGACGGCGGGAAATATGGAGGGTCGAAGCAGATGAAACTGGGACTGGAAATGGCGGCGGAGCTTGCTATATCTCGAGATTCGAGCCACAGCAGGGCATATTTGTAGCCGTTGTTTTGATTAATCAAAGTTAAACAGCACCCGGGTTATGATTTGAATATTATTTTTTTGGAGTAATTAGGTTTTCATCCTTATTTTTACTACTCTATTGATTAAAACCTTATTACTTTTCAATTTTTTATCAAGGTCCTTTGTATTAATAATATCATTAATTATTTCAATAATAAAATATTTTTTATTTCTAAATATATTCATTTAATATTAAAAATATTACAATTAGTATATTTATATTTATGGCTAAATTTTTTATCATATATTTTTATTTTTAGTTTGTACCCATTTTTAATTTGCAACCCTTTTTTAATTTGTACCAATTTCCTTTCAGTTTTAATTTGTACCCATATATTAATTTCTTTTTGTGCCCATATTTTTTAAAGTTTTATTTGTATTGTACCCATATTTTTTATTATTTGTACCCATTTTTATTTTTGCTAAATGTACCCATTTTGAAGAATGTATCCATGTTTTGATACAATAATTTTTTGGTTATTTTTTATGAATGTACCCATGTTTACACACACACACACAATAGTATATTTATATTTTAATATTTTTAATCCCACAAATTATAGTTTTTTATTTAAAATCTCATTACTATAAACAACTATAAATTTTAATTTTTAATTTAAAAAATATAGTAACGTACATAGAAATAAATTATCAATTAATTTCAGGGACTTGGATCAAAAATTGAAAACCAACAAGGTTTCAGTCAAAGACTATTCATAACTAGGGACCGCATCCAAAGTCTCCCTATTTTTTTTCTGATTACGGGCTTGTGGAATAGCAAGTCCTACTTAAAAATGCGTTGTGATAGCTCATTTAATTCATTTAAATAAATAGTAAATAGTAATTGATCAAATAAATTTTCATTTTTGAAAAATACGCTACTACAAAATTTAGTTAATTAGGAAAATTAATGAAAATTGTTTGAAAATTTTGAATTTTAACGATAAGGACAAAATAAAAAGTAAAGTGAATAGTACCATGATTGATTTTTTAATGTAAAAATATGATTTTTTTTTAAAGTGAACAATATCGGGAGTTTTTCGTTAAAGTTCCTTAGTTAATTCTTATTAAAATATTATTTTTATTTTTATAAAATAATAAATAAATAAATTAGTTTTAATTTCGGATATAATTTTTAACCAATCTTTTCACGTCACGTGTCATTATCCGAAAATACTACTTTGTGAATAGATTTCCGATAATATTTTGAACCAATTTCGATGCGTCACGTGTCACTATCTGTTTTCAATCATTTAGAATAGATTTCGATAAGATTTTCAATCAATCACGTAGTGCCACATGGCATTATCCACAACCTCATCCTTTTTTTTTTGTGTCTATCTAAACCCTACATCTATCATAATTCATACATCAAACTCAAACTAGCTCATAATCCTTCTTCATCGTTTTTAAATCTTGCTTTTTTACAATGTCTTCTTCAAAAAGATTGTATGAAATCGATGAGCAACAGAAAAAATTGTTAGGAGAATAGGAAGAATTGTTCAATACTGAGGATGGTGGAGATGAGGCATTCTTCATGGAAGAGGACGAGGATGATGAACATAAAAGGCAGAGAGCCTCAAATTCTTGTCGTGTCATGGAAGTTGTGGGTTAGATCTTCAAACCCAGACGTTACGCAAACTTGGACAGAAAGAGGGAAAGACAAGATAAAGATATCTTGGAAGATTAGTTTATCCCCAACAGTTTATTACTTGATCATATTTTTAGACGTCGTTTTAGAATGCAACGATCTTTGTTTAACAAAATCATGATTACTATTTGCAACCATGATCCATACTTTGTGCAAAAAAAAAAAAAAAAGAAGGATGCTTTTCATGTTAAAGGTCTTCTTCCTAAGCAAAAAATTATTGATGCCTTACAGATACTTGTATATGGAGCATCTACATATCAAGTGGATGAGATAGCGAGGATGGGAAAATCAACTATTCTAGAGTCCCTGATGAGGTTTTGTTCCACAATCGAAGCCCTCTATAACAATGAGTACCTCCAGAAATCCACGACAATTGACCTACAAGGCTTTTGAAGAATGTGAGGTACGAGGCTTTCCTAGCATGATTGGAAACATCGACTGTATGCACTAGACTTGAAAAAATTGTCCAAGTGCATGGCAAGAAGCTTATGGCGACAGAAAAGGAGCCAAAAGTATTATTTTGAAAGCGGTGTCATCATTTGATACATGGATTTAGCATGCTTTTTTCGGAGTTCCAGAAGCTCAAAATGATCTCAATGTCCTTGTCCAATCTCTAGTGTTCTACGAGATGCTGCAAGGAAAATCACCAAAAGTCACATATTGGGTCAATGGACATAAATATGAAGGAGCATACTGCTTAGCAAATGACATTTACCCAAGGTGGACAACATTTGTCAAAACAATGCCACATCCACAAAGTGAAAAGGAAAAACACTTCGCAAGATGTCAAAAGGGGTGTAGGAAGGATATGGAGCGTTGTTTTGGTATCCTGCAAGCTCGTTAAGCCATTGTCATGGCTGCTGCCAGATTGTTTGATGTCGAGGCTCTTTGATCCATCATGATGACGTGCATCATTCTCCACAACATAATTGTGGAAGATGAGTATGATTATGATGCCATCGATGAACACAAGTTGGACACGATGAACAATTCCAGAACACGTATTTATTGTGCTCATGACCGCACCGAAGATATCGTGCAACACGAGCCATTGGAAAATGATGGAAGTTACAATCAATTGATCATTGATCGGTACACTGCAATGCAATAAACATACATGCACTTAAGCCGTCAAAGTGACTTAATTGAGCACCAATGGGGATTGAAACAAGGTGAAGAAACTTAAAAGGAGCTTGTGGACGAAGAATAAAGTTCTTAGTTTATTTGGTGTGTTTGTGTAAGTTTTATTTGGTGAGTTCATGTAATTTTTTTTGGTTTGTTTTTTTAAGTTTATTTGGTGAGTTTATGTAATTTTATTTGGTGTATTCATGTAAGTTTATTTGGTGTGTTTATGCAATTTTATTTGGTGTGTTTATATAATTTTATTTTGGTGTGTTTATGTAATTTTATTTGGTGTGTTTAAAGAAAGTACTAAAAATAAATAAATAAATTACATAAAGAACTAAAAATAAATACGAAATTACATAGAGTACTAGAAAGAAATAAGAAATTACATAAAATACTAAAAATAAATACGAAATTTACATAAAGTACTACAAATAAATAAGAAATTACATAAAGTACTAAAAATAAATACGAAATTACATAAAGTACACAAAAAAATTAGAAATTATATAAAAAGTCTGAGGAGTTAGGATATGTGGTGCTAAGATCTTGGTTGCTAGGATTTGTGTAGCTAGAACCCCCTCAACTTGTTCCCTCGTTTCTTGCAGACCTCCTTTGCACCACGCCATCTTTTTCCGATGTTAAAAAAAATTTAGAATTTGAAGACATTCATTTTAGAGGCTTGTTCATGGTATCACGATTTGCTTGAGCCATCCTTTCTTCTCTAAGCATTTCTATTTCTCAATTAAGTATTTCTCTTTGTCTCTCATTAGCCGCATCACGTCTCTCAGTAACTGCTAAGTTTACTTGCATAATCGCAGTTTTTGCCTCATCTCTAACTGCTTCCCGCGCCATGCTCAATTCACCTTTGCAAGCTAGTTCGTCCATCTATTTTGTGTAGTCATTCTTGGAAGAACTCCCTTTTTTCTTTGCCGCCTTTTTACCTTAAGGCCTTAGGGATCGACAAGTCGGCTTCGGCACTGCTTCAGGGATCCTTTCCCGCTCTTCAAATGTGTCGCCTTCCTGTTGGGCCAGGTCTGCTTCTGGAAAACTGTGTAGAGGGATGTTAAGCATGATAAATTCTGGACCGGTTGGGACAAGTTTGTATCTGGGACAATTTTTGACAACATTCCAACATTCCCATCTAGTGAAAGATTTGTTTTTGTTGTTCACATTGTACCATGCTTGTGCTTGAAGTATCTATAAAATGTGGGATAATCAAGTTTGTATCTGGGATAATTCTTTGGCCAAAAAAGGTCACTTTATTAGCTTCCCAGCAAAAGTGAGGTGTTACCACATTATTTCAAGTTCGGCACATTGAAAACCAAACCATTTATTGAACTTCAAGATGATTAAGCAACCTTATCCAAGGTCGAAACCCGTTCCTTCCTTGACTGTAATCGCTTGCAGAAGTTAACAGCGCATTCAACACCACCATCACAACGTCTATTCTACTCGTCTGACCGAGCTTAGTTGTGAGTTGGCACGCCCGCATTCACAAAACATAGTTAGCTCATAGTTACCTAGCTTTCACGCCACATATATGCCCACAACCCATAGGTTCTCATTTGTTTCATATATCCAATGACTCCTTAATCCTTATAAAGATATCGATAGTAAAACCCGAAACACTTCTAAAGAAATACATTACCCATAAAGACAAATAAGGAGCGAAAACGAATAGTGCCATGAACATAACGATCTTTAGAGTTCGGAAACAACTGCTTATTGAACCATTTTCCTATTCCTTCGTTCTAGACGCTGAAGTCGCTTCAGTATGGTTTTCCCCAACCATCAGTTGGGCTTTTGTTTCCTTTGTTGTATCCTTTTTCTTCTTTGCTTCGACCTCTTTGAGGTCCAAGAAGCTTGGCTGATTGGTTAATGACAATAATTGTGCCCACATTCTGTCAGTGATCACAACCTTGTTCTGCCTCTCGGTCACCCATTGCGCATCAAAGAACAATCAACTTGCACATACGACTAAATCACAATGACAATTTATGGCAGTACCCGAAAAGACAAGGTAAGTTCTCGGGTACATCAAATAAATGTAAATTCTACTTTTTGCCTATGTTCTTGCATCACTTCCTTCATTTTTCCTGTCATATTGGCCTATGAATTTTTATTGGGGAATGTAACATGTCGAGTTCCCCCACTTCTGAATCATATGCTTCTATTCTTTTACTAAGATAACTATTTAAACCATGAGTAACATATATAACTTACATGAAACGGAATGTAAGCATGCCTTCTATTAACAGGGCTGAT